TTGTTGCCATCCGGAAACTCTGTGGCAAGGATGTGACAGATAATGATCTCCTCGAGAAAACATTATCCACATTCAGCACAGAGAATGTTGTGCTCCAACAACAATACCGTGCAATGAAACACACATTGTACGAAGACTTGTTGTCCTGTCTTCTCCTCGCTGAGAAGAATAACCAGCTGCTTATGAGGAACAGCGCTATGAGGCCCCCGGGATCGGCTCCTGTCCCAGCTTCTCGTCAAGAGTTCTACCATGTTCAACCCGATAGATCCTCAGATCACCGCCGTGGACGTGGTAATGGACGTGGTAATGGCCGAGGACATGGACGTGGAAGACGTGGACGCGGACATGGTCGTGGCAACCGACCTAACCTCAGTTATGGTCCTGGTCGTGGTCGAGGCATCACCAAGCCGACCCGCCACACCAACCCCGATCACTCTGCTTGTACCAGATGTGGGATGTTCAACCACCCAACAAAGCAATGTCGCACCCCCAAGATCCACTGCGATCTATACCAGAAGTACGGAAAAGCTCCTGCTGAAGCCAATATGACTCAGCCAGTCGATGCTGCTAACCTGGAAGGTGACGACCTCCTTGATGATGAGAACACCACAAACGAGCAGACCGACCCCATGGACTATGAAACAGCTGATCTCCTCGATTAATTCAATCATCTGAAACTCTGATACAATTTGATTTTGTTCTTTATTTTTTCATTTTGGGATTTGTTTCATTTTTTTTTTTCCATTTGCCTTTATTCTCAGACACTGCTTTACTTTATGATTTATCACATTTTCTGAATTCCTCAATACTGAATTCTATCTTCTATTCATAATGAAGCACACCAGCAAATGGAAACCATAGTCGTAGATAGTGGATCCAGCCACACTATCTTAAGAAACAAAAGTTACTTCATAAACCTAACCTATCAAACCGCAAATATTAGCACCATCGCGGGCCCCTCAAACCTTATCGAAGGATATGGCCATGCCTATGTGTTGCTATCAAATGGCACACAACTTGAAATACCAGATGCTCTATATTCTCCTAGTTCGAAGAGAAATCTTCTGAGCTTCAAGGATATAAGACAGAATGGTTTCCACATAGAAACCCAAGGTCAAGGGAACAAAGAATCCCTCCTAGTCACTAAAACCGTAGACGGCCATAAACAAATCCTCGAAACCATACCCGCGCTCTCTACTGGACTTTACTATGCTAAAGTCAGTATGATTGAAGCTAATACCACTCTCAAAGCCCGGTTTACTGATTATACTATTTGGCACGACCGGCTCGGTCATCCCGGTGCAAATATGATGCGTAAACTAATTCAAAACTCTCAAGGGCATACCCTCAAAGAAAACCGAGCTTATCTTCAACACCTCATGTGCACAGCTTGTTCTCAAGGCAAATTGATCACTCGGCCTTCACCAGTTAAAATCTCTAAACAAACACTTCATTTCCTAGAAAGAATCCAGGGCGATATCTGTGGACCTATACATCCATCTTCCGGACCATTCCGGTACTTCATGGTCCTTATAGACGCATCGACCCGTTGGTCATATGTTTGTCTCTTGTCCTCTCGGAACCAAGCCTTCGCTAGGTTCTTGGCCCAAATCATCAAATTGCGGGCCCATTTCCCTGACTTCCCACTAAAGACTATCCGCCTTGACAATGCTGGTGAATTTACCTCACAAGCGTTTAATGACTACTGTATGGCCATGGGGGTAACCGTGGAACATCCTGTAGCACATGTCCATACTCAAAATGGATTGGCTGAATCATTCATTAAACGCATTCAATGGATAGCCCGACCATTACTCATGAGATCAAAGCTCCCGGCCTCAGCATGGGGACATGCAGTATTACATGCTGCTGAACTCATACGCATCCGGCCATCTAGTGAACACAAATATTCCCCATCCCAACTACTCTCGGGTCATGAGCCAGACATCTCCCATCTCAAAACATTTGGGTGTTCAGTATATGTACCCATTGCTCCACCACATCGAACCAAAATGGGACCTCAAAGAAGGATGGGAATATATGTTGGTTTTGACTCTCCCACCATCATAAGATATCTCGAGCCAACCACTGGAGATCTCTTCAAGGCCAGATATGCGGATTGCCAATTCGATGAATCGGTATATCCTTCTTTAGGTGGTGAGACAAACAAGCTGGTCAAAGATCTTTCATGGAATCAAACATCATTAAATTGGCAAGATCCTCGGACTCTAGAATGTGATTCAGAGATCCAAAAGATTATTCATTATCAAAAGCTAGCTAATCAATTGCCAGATCCTTTGCTGACCCGACCAAAGTAACCAAATCGTACATCCCAGCTTGTAATGCACCAGTACGAATAGCTGTCCCAACGGGACAGACCCAAGTTGCTACAGAGTCTGCACCACGTCTCAAACGGGGCAGACCTCTCGGTTCCAAAGATAAGAATCCCCGGAAATCAAAGAAAGGTGCAATAACCGAAACCGGGATTCCTGCAATATCAGACATAGCCGCGGCTGAGACTCAATCTAATGAACCCTCAATGGAAGTTCGGGACGCCGAATCTCCAGGTTCAGAAGATAACAATGAGATCTCCATCAATTACAATATGTCCGGAATACAATGGAATCGAAAAGAAGTCGACTTAAATGCACTCTTTGCATACAAAGTAGCACTTGATGTTGCGCTCACGCAAGAGGATCTAGAACCCACGTCAATAACACAGTGTACACATCGAACAGATTGGCTAAAATGGAAAGAAGCCATAAACGTGGAGTTAAAGAGTCTCAAACTCAGAAACGTGTTCGGTCCGATCATCCGGACCCCATCACACATCAAGCCAGTGGGCCACAAATGGGTCTTTGTGCGCAAAAGGAACGAACTCGGTGAAGTCGTTCGATACAAAGCACGGCTTGTAGCACAAGGATTCTCACAGAGACCCGGAATCGATTATGAGGAGACTTATTCTCCAGTGGTGGATGCAACAACATTCCGATTCCTCATAAGTCTGGCCATAAGAGAAAAACTTGATCTGCGGTTAATGGATGTTGTAACCGCATATCTCTATGGGCCCCTGGACAACGAAATATATATGAGACTCCCAGATGGCATTGAACTAAAAGACAAAAATGCATCTCGAGATCAATACTGCATCAGGCTGAACAAATCCTTGTATGGACTGAAACAAAGTGGGCGTATGTGGTACAACCGCCTCAGCGATTACCTCATCAAAGAAGGCTACAAAAATGACCCCATCAGTCCATGCATCTTCATCAAGAAGTACTCAAACAAAGGATTTGTAATCATAGCAGTATACGTGGATGATCTAAACATCCTCGGAACATCTGGTGAGATCTCCCAAACAGTCGACTGCTTAAAAGCAGAATTCGAAATGAAAGACCTAGGCAAAACAAAGTACTGTTTGGGATTACAACTTGAGTACATCAAAGGAGGAATCCTTGTGCATCAATCGGCTTATATCGAAAAGGTACTCAAGCGATTTAATATGGACCAAGCTCACCCATTGACCAGCCCAATGGTAGTTAGAAGCTTAAGTGATGACCCTCTTGGTCCCAAAAAGGATGATGAAGAAATCCTTGGTCCTGAAAAGCCATACCTCAGTGCTGTAGGAGCGTTAATGTACCTGGCTAGTCACACTAGACCAGACATATGTTTCGCCGTGAACCTCCTTGCTCGATATAGTTCATCTCCAACTCAGAGGCACTGGAACGGTATAAAACATCTCCTAAGATATCTTCGAGGTACTCAAGACTTAGGACTCTTCTATACTAACCAAAATAAAGATGGGTTAGTCGGCTTCGCCGATGCAGGATATCTATCAGATCCGCACACTGCCAAGTCTCAAACTGGCTACGTTTTTACGCATGGAGGAACAGCCATCTCTTGGAGATCAATGAAGCAGACACTCACTGCCACTTCATCAAACCATGCTGAAATCCTAGCCATTCACGAGGCTAGTAGGGAATGCGTCTGGCTGCGCTCCATGACTCAGCACATCCGCAGAGATTGTGGTATGGACGAAGACACACAGCCCACGGTGATGTATGAAGACAACGCGGCATGCATAGCTCAGCTCAAGGAAGGATATATCAAAGGAGATCGGACGAAGCACATTCTACCGAAGTTCTTCTCAACCTCAGACTGGCAGAAGGACGACACTCTCAGCGTTCAGCAGGTCCGATCCAGTGAGAATTCAGCTGACCTCTTCACCAAATCATTGCCTACTTCAACACACCGGAAGCTCGTCAAACAGATAGGAATGTATAGACTTAGAGATCTGCAGTGATGCTACAATCAGGGGAAGTAATGCGTGTTGTACTCTTTTTCCTTCACCATGGTTTTGTCCCACTGGGTTTTCCTGGTAAGGTTTTAATGAGGCAACATTCCCCAACGCATTATCGAGATCCCGATTGAGTAGCTGACCCGGTTCACTCGTCCAAGGGGGAGTGTTATAACACATATCATATATGGACTCTTATACCGGCCCATTAGGCCCATCAGAACATTGTACTTAACCTAGATTCCCTATGTACTTTATATATACATTCCAGTGATTAATAAAGTTTCTAAGTTTTCACAAAAAAACAACTATCTAGGAATTGGATAGTAATACATAATTGAAAAAATGACATATCCGAGATCTTTGCGTATAATAGAATTATGATATCCATTATTCAAAAATTATGAATACCTCTTATTTCGATACAAATACAAGACGGATATTGGGTATTAGTCACAGGCTCACAGCCGTACTTATACCAGCTGGGTTATTTGCAATTTTTTTTTTTTTTTGATAAAGTAATTGCATTTGTTTTACTAAGTAATACGTATACGTTAAAGTATCTTTTTCTTGTTTCGTGGATCAACTTAAAGAAATCTCTATTTGGGGAATGGGGAATGAGGTTACGTTGCTTAGAGAAATTGAAAATCTTTTGACAAGTAGATTTTTAGCCTATAAATAGAACAGCGTAGAAAGAAGAAGAGAGGCACAGAACAAATTAGAATTTTTGAAATCTATATATTGCGAGGATGAATATTGCAGCTATTGCTCCGACGTTGCATGCAGCTATTGCTCCAACATTGCATGGCGAGTGGATCAGGGTAACTAATTAATTAATGATTCTATTAATACAGTAGTTTAGTTTCTTACAAATTCATATGTAATTTTGTACGAGAAAGATTTATATAGGTTACGAGTTTCTTAGCAAAAAAAAAAAAAGAAAAGAATATAGCCATATGTAGGTTAAAATTGGCTAGTGATTACTATTAGTTCTGCTTTTTTTTGGGCGGTCTGCTGATTAAGATATGCATTTCGCTAATTAAGTAATACTTAGTAATCATTGTTTTCGAAAATTTCATAAAATAATCAAATACATCACTATGGCTTTCATTTTGGTGTAATATTGAACACACATCACATATCACATGGTAATAATGAATTAGGTTGAAATTTATTGTGGTGACGAAATGTTATACAATTTTCAGGTGGAGCAAAGAGGAAAGGGACCAGGACCGAGAAGTTCACACGCCGTAGCCGTGGTCGGAGATAAGTTATACTCATTCGGCGGCGAGTTAACATCCAATGTCCCCATCGACAAAGACCTTCACGTCTTTGACCTCAACACTCACACTTGGTCAATCGCTCCGGCCACCGGAGACATCCCGACCCTCAATTTCTTAGGGGTCGCCATGGTGGCCGTTGGACTCAAGCTCTACGTTTTCGGTGGCCGTGATGCGTCCCGAAAGTACAATGGATTTTACTCGTACGATACGGTGAAAAACGAGTGGAAGCTTGTGACTGGTGTCGAGGAAGGACCCGAGGCTCGTAGCTTCCACTCGATGGCTTCGGATGCAGAGAACGTGTACTTGTTCGGTGGGGTAAGTAAAACCACGCGGCTCAAGACGCTAAACGCGTTTAACGTTGCTGATGAGAAGTGGGTTCAGCTACCGACTCCTGGTGATTCTTGCAAAGAAAGAGGAGGAGCAGGTCTTGTAGCGGTTCAAGGCAAGTTATGGGTGTTATACGGGTTTAGTGGAGACGAGTGTGATGATGTTCATTGCTTTGATGTGGATCGCAACGAGTGGACTAAAGTAGAGACTACTGGAGAGAAGCCTTCGCCGAGGAGCGTTTTCGCGTTTGCTGCTGTTGGAAAATATGTAATAGTATTTGGAGGTGAGATCGAGATGGACCCTCAGGCCCATGTTGGTCCTGGGAAGTTGTGTGGTTTAGGTTTCGTGTTGGACACGGAAACGTTGAAGTGGAAGAAACTGGAAGATGGAGGAGAGGAGACGTGGCCAGGACCGCGTGGTTGGTGTGCATCGACGGCTGCGACGGTCAATGGAAAGAAAGGGATGCTGATGTTTGGTGGGAAGTCCCCGACCAACGACCGCTTTGATGATCTCTACTTCTATGAACTGAATCAGCATAATGCTCTCATCAACGTTCGTGTTGGAATATTTTAATCTCATAATTAAGGAGATTTGTGAGACTTGATGTAAAATACCTAAAAATAAATAGTGTGTCTCTGCCATGTGGTTTGAAAGAAGTTGTGATTGAATCATCATAGTCTGTTTTTCTTATTAAATGAATAATGTGTGTCTCTGGTTGCAGTTTGAAATGTGTTTGTTGTACGTGATTTAATCACCAGTGTTTTTTAAATAAATTAATAATGTAAACTACTTTGTATAATAATATAAATAAAGAGCGTGGATTGTATCCAGTTTAGTATAGATTTTTTATTTTATTTTTTTGCTATGAGGGTTTAGTATCGGAGCTAGATATACGTCCATTTACTTCCATCAATGGTGTAAATTCTGGATTCAATTTTTCGAAAAATTCACAGGAGATTTTAGATATATAAGAGAAAATGAAGAAATAAAATGTAAAGAAACAGAAAGAAAAATAAATAGAAACGTTGGAAAATTAATACTCCTTTATTTCTTTTGGGTGAGATCGAGAGGCAATAAACTATCTTTGAGCCCGGGGAATAAAAAATTAGAAATACACCGATGATGAAAGAGATAACTCTTACTCCAGTATTTAGCAACAGAAACAATTCATTCATAATAAAAAACAATTGTCGAAAGGTCGCAAGACACGGAAAAAATAAAAATAAAGGACACAAAACGCTTAATATTAATTAAAATGTTGTATTTTTCGGGACGTTTCAAAATTTAGTTATTTTATTTATTGTATGTTGTATGAATATGTTGGAACAAACATATATGACGGATCTAGCAAGAAGTAACAACAAGCAACCAATCAATACTAACCATCAAACTATCCTAATCTAGTAATATTTATGATCAAACTAAAGAATAAATTACTAAACTTAATATAAGGTAAAACAGAATATGTACATAAACATAAAAGCTATGTTTTGAAATTTTTTACGAAAAGGCAATACATAAACATAAAACATAAAGGCGGTCAGTGAATGATTCTCCTTTAAACAAAATGCACAAACATTATGAATATGTTAGATCAGGGGCGGAGGCAAGTGAGAGGTAGGGGGGTCAGCTGAAGAACAAATGTGAAGAAATTCTTCACTAATTGGTATATAAATATGAAGATTTTCCAAAATGTATAAACATTGTTTATATATCAAAACCCAATTAGAAAAAAATAAACTTGAATTTTAATGTATTTACACAAATATATATAGAAATGCAACAAAAATAATCGAATCAACCAAAAATATACGAGTCAAACCAGAATTTAACACAGAATGTAAGATGGATCGGTCATATAGATCGGTCATATAGATCGGTCAAATGACAAATCCTTGAAATACAATTCGGATTGACTTGAAACCACTTCTTTTTAGAAATCTAACTCAATCTTTCAGACATATCTAAATTTGAGTTCAATAGTACATTGTTAAAGCCTTTATTCAATTCAGTCTTTCAGACATATCTTTTAGCTATGCATTAGCCTTTTACTCGTGTGCATCTAACAGTATATCTCTTCATCATTTTTCAAACTATGTATGTAATTTGATCGAAGCCACTCCCAAACACTTACTTAAACATAAAATATATTAAAAATACCGAAATAACCTAGAACATTCTAAATGCAAGACAATACTAAATGAGATTCAAATACATGGAAATGTCCTAAAAATTGTACAAAATAAAATTAAAAACCTATAAAATAAACTTCTAAAACATGCAAAAAATACAATTATCAAAAATCGTAGTTATAATCTCTTTATTTTGTTTGAGTTTGTCTAAGAGACCAAAAAAAAGATTGACAAAAGAAAACAGAGAATCCAAAGAAGCCAATTGGGTTGCAACTTGTAAGGTTTGGTGGGCACGTGATCAATTGGGATTGAACGGACACCGTGATCAACTTTTACACGAAGCTTTGTCGGCTCAAGTGTTACAGTTACTTTTTTATTTAATAATCGTTGTGGCTATTGAATATCAAATATGCTAACTAAAAAGACATTAAAAGGTGTGGTTGTTTCTATATACTTGTGTTTCTCTTTATTGACTTAGTGATTCTCTTTTGTTGAACTATGATGTTTATGAAATCCAATGGTACTAACTTAGTTAAACTAGCAAATTAGACACATTAAGATTAAAAATTAACTAGTAAACATTAATAAATAAAAAACAAGAAACGTCAATCTTTGTAAAAAGATGAAAAGAGAAGCACTAACTAAAAGACCTAACACAAGTTGGGTGTAATGAATCAAACAACGTGTCAATTTTGTAAATTTATATTTGTTTAACCTTGATTGTATTGTAGGTAGGTCACCTTTCCAAAATTTTTAACTATCCAAAGTGATTTGTTTTTTCTTTTATTGTAACTTTTAAGTTTTATATTTTAATAATACGGTATTAAAAAAAGTATATAACCTGAATTGACCTGGATTTATAGGCCATGCTAAATTTTGATTGACACAAGAAACTTCTGAAGTCGGAGAATCAGATAATTCTCAATCTCCTCTTAATGGTTTTTTAAAAAATATATCTTCTGAAATTCATATGAGTTAGTCCATTTCATTAGTATTTTCCTACATGCTATTAAGATAGGTATATACATAATCATATCTTGTTATCAAATGTGAAGAAAAAAAACTAATATGCAAATCACAGCAATACAAACACAGAAATACTATACTCAATATTAAAATTTGTATTGAGTTTGTGCTACGACATGAAAAAAAAGTAATTTTACGTAATTCATAAGTTTTACCAACGGTAAATTTTGGTTCTAAAAACAATTATGAATTAAAGATCTAGAAAACTCTAATTCCGAAAGAATATAATTTTTTATATGAAAATAAACAAAAGAGAGTTAATAGCTCAACTGATAATGATTTCAGATAAAGCCTAAAGATTGTTGGTTCAAATGACTTTTGGAACAAAACTAATATTACATGCTATGAATCAGGTATGGAGGAATTACGAGCTTCCATCCAAAACCTACTAATAATTTTTTTTAAAATAAAGAACAAACAAAAGCTGACGAAATAGTAAAAAGTAGTTGTATTTAACAAAAAAAAGGAGAAATGAAACTTGCGCGTCAATATATAAATCTCAACCCCTACTCTTCTTTCTTCCCTCCTTTCGCGCCTTTGTGGGCGAACAAAAAGGCATCCAGGTTCAATGAACCTGGAAGTTCTATGTTCTTGTTTTATCATCACCATCATCATATTCTTCATCACCGTAAGCATGCTCATCATTATGATACTATATATATATATATAATTCTTTATATACATACCTAACTAATTAAACGAATATACAATATTTTGATTTGTTGGATTTCTTATTTATTCTAAAACTGTAATTTGTTAATTATTAGTTTACTAGCGACTTATATATATGTAAACGAAGCTTTGATGAAACTGCGGACAAATTGGGCCGAGAAAGAGAGAAGTATCTATGGCATCTTCGGCGACTCATCACTTCATCATCATTATCATGGTATTTTTCTTTGTTCAGCTCATCTTTATATATATGCCATAACTATTTTATTTTTAAATGTGATCACCAATAGATTAAAAACGTTTTTCGTTGCAATTTATTGCCGTAATTATATCCATGAGTTCGCTGGAAAACATGTTCGTGTCTGCTGCACACACATTTTTTGTTTTTTGGGTTAAAACACGCATTCTCTATTTTATATATGTATATGTACCAAAACACATGTGAAAAAAAACTCGTTATGTTCTGTCTTTTCTATTTCTGAAAACTGATGTATTTTCAATTCATTATTGGCACTTCTCTAAACTCGTTAACGAAAAAGGATCATCGAGGATGTTTTTCTCAAAAGTTGTATGGTTTGACATGGCATATTACATTATTACAATTTTATAATTAGAGCAAATGAAAACTGGGAGTAGTAGTACATCTTGTAAAGACTTGACCAGAATCGGTCTAGTTGGTAAATTGGTAATTAATGATAACATCTGTTGAAGGGTGCCCAAACTAGCATAACCGATGTTTGAGAAACAGATATACCACATTTTTGGGGGGAAACTATAAGCAGTAACTCCATTCTAAGAGATAATATTTATATATTTAGTAGGCTTTTTTCTTTAGGGTGTAAGTAGAGAAACTAACTTATATATTCATTTTGCGTTTAATTATATTCCAACAATGGTGTTATGTTCATGCGGGATAAATACTTTATATACTCTTTTAGTTGAATAGAAAATTATACATGGTCTGTATATAAAAGAAAATGTCTAAATCTATAGGAAAGTATGCTTGGTAATATTAGTTTTTTTTTCTTTTGCTATTCATTGTTCCTTCATCTTCTCACTCTTCTTTCTGCCTTGCTTTCGAGCGTCGAACCCATCAATCGTTGCTCATAAAAATGCCTTCGCTGACCAGACGAGCTACAAGAGTTATGTAGAGTTAAATGCTTGGTAATATACTTTCATTTTAACTCCATGCATGCAGGATCAAGCTCAAAGAACGGCGTAAGACAGGAGCCAAACATCACCTCAACACAAATATGCTCGAGATGATTGATCAATATGCATATGGGAGAAAGTATATCAATATGGAACTAATTATAATTAGTATTACATTATCGTTTGATAGAAAAACATGAATAGTGTTCATGCATGGCTTGAAACATGAAACAAAACAAAAAAGAGTTCCCCTTTCAGAAACTTCAATCTATTTTGTTGAGAGAGAAAAAATAAACAAAACTTATATGTAGCTGTTGTCTTGCACTCTCATTTTGATTTTCAGTTTTGCATTGACAATGGAATAGTTGATTGGAACTTGAAATCCTTTTCTTGAAGCTGGGTTATTTCGTCGACGCCTATATATAATTTATTACGTGTCAACAGATATATGTGTAATATTTATAACAATATATGCAACTGTACTCAGTTATCTAAGAGCATCAACAATGGTGGGTCTTAGCCCAAAAAACAAGGATGCTTAGGCCAAAAAGAAAATGAAAATTGAAAAAAAGAAGAAGTATCGACACTTAAATGAGACCCAGAAGCATCGCTACTTGGGTGTACGTGGCATCTTTTCAATGGACAGAAAAAAAGAAGAAAACTTGGGGTAAAGAAAACAATCTCATTTTTTTGGACTTCTGGATTTCTCCGAAAAAAAAACCCGACGATTCTCTCCACCGGCTCATCGACGAAGATGTCTTCTCCGATCGTCATCGAGATTTCACCGGTCAGCCGAACTCGTCTCATCTTCTCCGACCAGGTATGTGTGATTATCATCGATTTCTGTATAAAATTTTGGTTGGTTTGATTGAATCGATTAAGTTGAGTTGAATACTCTGCATGCGTTTTGATTGAGTTGATTTAGGGTTTATTATTTGATGCGGTTTGGTGATTTGTGTTGGGTTTTGTGTTTTCAGAGTTTGAATCAAAGGCTTGAGTAGTTTAGTTTAGGGCTGGGTTCTGTTCTGATGAATGATATGTGTTCAATCATGGGTAATGAACTGTGTTTAATAATGAATTGTGTTTGAAACTGTATCATAATTACTGAAGAGTCTTTATGTGATTTCGGATTTGTTATATGTGGATTCCGATTATCTCTTGCTTACACATTTCCTTCTAGTTGGTCATATACGGACGTGTGGGGGATCGGTTGTGTTATTCTTTGTTTGGTTGTTCATTAGATTGTTTAGATTGGTATTGGTTATTTGTTTGATAATTTGCTATGGGTTTTTCTTTCTTTGTCATTCTTTGTGGATCAGTTAACTTCAACCGATATATACATAGACTGAATGCATATATGTGTGTAGGGTAATAAATGCATATGTGTGTAGAATTTGAGTGTAGTTGTAATTGTTCATTGATGGTTTAAAGCTGGTTGTGGTAATTATTTATGGTAGATAAATGTCTAGTCGATAGTATTTATGTGTTTAATGTGTCTAGTAGATAAGTGTAGTTGTATGTGTTTAATGAACTGAGTTGGTAATTGTGTGAGCTGAATTGTGTGTCTTGGTGTATTTGATATTTATGTGTTTAAGTCTTTCAGTCTATGGGCTTAACATAGGTTTTTTTTCTCTTTGCAACATGTGAGCTTCGTTTGGCATATGGGAGGTTCCCATAGCACGGCTGAGAGGTTCGTTTGGCAACCAGAATCATTGAGTCTTGGCATTACAAAAAAAAGGTATGGCATCTGCTTTCTTTGATATTTTTAAACGCTATGTTAGGTTGGAAGTATAAAGAACATTTCATTGATGGTAACTAAACTATAAAACTTAAAAAAGACTTCATTGATTGAATGACAACTTAAAACTTAAAAAACTTAAAGATTTCATTACTCAACTGAAGTTAAAGCTTTAGATTTAGTTAGATATCGAGGTTCATTGAAGTTAAAGCTTTAGTTGAAGGTTTAGTAGATATATGTCTACTCAACTGAGTTTAATACAACTTAAACTCAACTCCTCTTTAAATTGTGATCTCCAAAATCTCCAACGGTGCTCTTTTTAAACCCCTTTTATCAAACGTTTCATGAATCAAGTTATCAAAATTTTGATGAATCTAGTTATCAAAATTATGATCTTTCACGTTATCAAACACTTGATCAACGGTTTGATCAAAAATTTAATGATTACTTTGATCAAACTTTTGATAATTTGTGTATTGATTACCAAAAAAATATGGAGGCAAGGCAGTCAAAAAAAAGACGGGCTTACATTGAAAGAGATCGGGAGTCAGGCCATACACGGTTATGGAATTACTTCAGTGAGAATACAACGTATCCATCTCATTTGTTCAGACGTCGTTTTCGAATGAATAAGCCATTATTCATGAAAATTGTTGATCACCTATCCAACGAATTTTCATTCTTCCGACAAAAAAAAGATGCTGCTGGAAGACCTGGTCTCTCGGGACTTCAGAAATGTACAGCAGCAATTCGTCTCTTAGCTTACGGTACTGCAGCTGATGCAGTAGACGAATACCTCCGGCTTGGTGATTCTACGGCTCGGTCATGTTTGGAACATTTTGTTGAAGGAATAATATATTTGTTTGGTGAAGAATACTTAAGGAGACCCACACCAGAGGATCTCCGAAGACTACTTTATTTTGGAGAAAACCGCGGATTTCCCGGAATGATAGGAAGCATCGATTGTATGCATTGGGAGTGGAAGAATTGTCCCACCGCTTGGAAAGGGCAATATACACGTGGTGCTGGGAAACCCACAATCGTTTTGGAGGCGGTAGCTTCATATGATCTTTGGATATGGCACACATTTTTTGGTCCCCCAGGTACCTTAAATGATATAAATGTTCTTGATCGTTCACCCGTGTTTGATGATATCGTACAAGGTAAAGCTCCGAAAGTGAATTTTTCTGTCAACGGAAGGGATTACAATTTGGCTTATTATCTCACTGATGGTATTTACCCAAATTGGGCTACGTTTATCAAATCTATACCACTTCCGGAGGGGCCAAAAGCTTGTAAATTTGCTAAATATCAAGAAGCTACCCGAAAAGATGTCGAGCGTGCTTTCGGAGTCTTACAAGCTCGGTTTGCAATTATTAAAAACCCAGCTCTTTTTTGGGATAAAGCAAAAATCGGAAATATTATGAGAGCATGTATCATTCTCCACAACATGATAGTAGAAGACGAACGAGTTGAAAAAACTCAATACGATCTTTCAGATTTCCAACACGGAGATGGCCACGGTAGTTCACATGTGAGTCAGAACTATTCAACAGATATGCCTTCAAATATTGCTGATATGATGGGCACTCGGAAGAAAATTAAAGATAAACAAGTACATCAACAATTGCAAGCTGATTTGGTTGAACACATTTGGCAAAAGTTTGGAGATGAAGAAGATTAAAATTGATCGTTTATATGTTTATATGTTTAAAATGTATTAAAATCTATGTTTAAATTTTATTTTTCTATATGTAATATATTGTTATAATTTATGTTCTATTTAAATAAATAAATTTCTTTAAAAATTAATAAATTATAATTTTTTTTTTATTAAGCATCCCATTAGGAGTACTCCAATAGAAGCAACAAAATTCTCTTCTTTTTAATACAGATACTTAACTTAACTTTAATAATATTTAATTGCTAAGCATCTCAAAATGGGTTGCTCCATTGCTGATGCCCTAAGATTTATGCTAACGTCATATGCATCACATTTAGAAAATATTAAGTATATAATTATTATTGTTATACATGTGTTGTTAGTTGTTTTTTTTTTCATTAACATTTAAACCTTTTTCTTCTCTTACAGTCAATTTGCTTGTAGTCTGTTGCCAAGCCAAAAACCAACCAACTAGCCGAACAGGGATAAAGACTCCATCAGCAATCGAATTTTTTTTTTTTTTTTGGCTCAACATTTTGATAGAAATCAGAATATGTTGCCTGTTGGCTGTTGCTCTTTAGTCTAGAATCGACATATCATCATCCCGACAAGTATAAAACGAAGAAAAGGATTTAACGTTGTTGCCTTCACATCTTATAAGCTAATCTTATATTGGTTAAATTACGAGTATATCTCGAATTCAATGTCTAGATAATTCAAGCCATTGAATTTTCACGTTGACTCTAATGCTGAAAGCTAGAGCTCGTCTCCAAAGCTACGAGGCTCACTAAAAAGCTCAACCAAAACGTAATATTGTCTATTTCCGCCCTCTAAGCGCCTCATCGACTAACTTTCTCTCCCTTAAATGCAAAAACCATTTTGTCTGTTCTAACTGCAGATATAGTTTTTGTAACCAAGAATCTTACTTCAACAAGTTTTGTTGTATCAAAAGTAATAAAGACAACTTTGTTGATAATGCACTGCAACCAAATCTTTACATGTTAAGTTGAAATGTTTTGGGATATGTCTCACATGATGTCAGTACCCACGGGATCCACAGAGAAATGAAGAACTACTGATCTTTCGATAAACGGCTCAAATTGTGACCTCCACATCTGAAAGAAAAGAGTTTCGATTCAATCTAACTTATATTTCATATAATGAGAAAAATTGAAGAGTAGTAATAGTGTTAAGTTACAAGGTTCCAGTAAAGAAAAGACCTTACATCTTTATACTCTCTGCCATCAACGAAAATCTCCATGGCATCAACTGCAGGATTTTCCATAAGCAAAGAGTGAGAGGAGAATGCAAGAAGAAAGCAGAGGAATGCAAACTGTTTGGAAACTAGGAAAAATGATTACAGGAACGGAATCGAACTACTGCTGCATGTGTGAATTCCTTACTGCTATCATTAAAGTTTGAACCTGGAAATCAGAAAAAATTAAAGCGAAAAGATTAGATCAATTTGAGTGTGGCTATAAATGGATCAGATGAATGTCAGAAATATAGTTCCAAATGCAAAAAAAAAAAAAAATCTCCTTTTCTTCATAGACACCTTGTGTGGACTGAACAATTAATGATGGAAGAGATGAAGTTAGCTGTGCAAAAGAATCCATTGCATCTTTAGTGTTCTTGCCAGAAGCGTTCTTATCAAAAGTAACCAGAAGAACAAACTCTTGGCCATAGTTGTACTCCTACCACGGGAAGAAACTCGGTCTGTTTACATGTTTTGAAACTAGAAAGTAGTAACCCTTTGGCTCTAAAGCTATAGAGCCAAATTTGTGAAAGAAAAGATTTTTGAATATGAAATGAGTTGATGATACCTCGCCCTTTCGAAATATTGAAAGGATATCATCTTCAACCTCTGATTCATAGTCTACATTAACTAGCCCCTGGTACATCAAAACCCGAGAGCAACAAGAACGAAACATCTAAATAGAGAAAAACAAGAACAAGAAGAAGAAGACGAGAAGACAGAGCTAATGAGAGGAATGGCGTTTACATGCAAGGGCATACATGGCAGAATGGTGTTACATGTTCACCGAGAATTTTCAAGAAGAAAGGGTTCTCATAGAACTTGTCAAGGTCTTCCTTCCTCTGGAATCGCATGAAGAGAGCGTGCGTGTAATCTTCATTGTTTCTATCATCGATGCTACCTGTGAGATTAAATCGAATCGAAAAGAGACTTGTTTCTTATAAACACAAAAGGACATTATTATCTATCTAGATTCAAAGAAAAAAAGTCACCTAAGTCCACGAGCCTCACCTACAGATATAGCGACAATGCCTCTCATTTGATATTGAGAAGTGTAAAGATAATCGAGCATATCTTTTTCTTCCTCAGCAGATAAATCCACTTTCGCTTTGAGTAAACACAAATGCTCCACTACTTTCCTGTGGAACATATTTGATACATATAAAGGTGCAGACTTTGAGAGTGTCTAATAATCCTAACCTACATGCGAAAGTTGGAAACTTTTTCAAGAACCTCAGTTACAAACACACAAACATACATAAGGAGCTAAAATTAGAAGAAAAAAATTGAACCTTGTCTTCTTCGAATTGGAATTGGCAATTTGATCATCAGAAGCGCAAAATGCTACTCTTGGGTTTTTTGTTCGGGATTGATGCGGAAATACATCTCCATTAGACCCGAATCCTGTCAATTGCAAGAAGGAAAATCGATTGAGCAATTAACATATACTGAAATTCCAAACTAAATGTGGACAATCTCCAGATATCCCACACATTATCCGCACTAAATCTTCGAATACCAATCGATTCTCCAGAAATTAGGTCACCGGAAAACAAATTCGGCTCAAGTTACACAGAGTATATGACGAGCCCGGAGAAAATTTAGCCGAAATTAACAGACCCGCGACAGAAATCAAGTCGATTATTCGTGAGAAAGATGGAGAGTCGACAAACCCAGAATGAAAAACCGAAACTTTACCTCTGGTGAAAACTGGGTGAGTGAAACGTGGGTAAACAAAAGCTTGATGGATCATCATCGAGTTTCGCAGACGAAGTCTTGCATGGTTTGCTCTTTATCACTTCTCAATAGAGATTTAAGAAGCGAATGAGATTTTTGAGTTTTTGTGGTAGTTATGGTTTTGTAATTCAACATGCCATTTAAAATCTTTTTGCGCCACAAAATTCGTTATTCTACTTATTTATTTATCGATATTTATTCAATTCTCAAAAAAATTTCCCTAACATTTGGACTTAGATTTACTTTTTTTGTTTTTTTGCATGGAAGAAAATATTAAAATTAGAGGTGATAATTTGATGATATAAAGGCTCTAAATATAAATGTTATATAAGGTTAGCTCTTCTTACATATCCGGTTTCAGTTGGATTGCAAAACTTCATTGGATATCTATTTTTCCAAGGCTCAGCTTTGGGATTATTTCTGAGCTCCAATGGCCAATCTTTGAGATCTATGGTCTCCAGCTTAACATTAAAAATATAGAATTGTGCTTGGGAATTGTATATTTTGCCAATTAAAATATGGGTTTATAACCCCCAAATGTTTTAGTCACGGCGAATTTGCAGGTTCTCAATTCATTAATCAAATCAAATGGAACCACAAAAAGAGTTAAAGAAAGAGTCTTCCATGACATTCATTGTCAAAGTGTTTTCTTTAACTCAATTTCTTTCTCTTTTACTTCTTGACTCGAAGGAGCAACGTAGCCAATGATTCGCTAGCGAAATCAGCCTTGTCATCTGTAAGACTGTAACCAAATCCTCCATGTTTACAGAGTGAACTCTTTTCTTTCAATGAAATTTCAGTTTGAACAGACAAAACTTACAATTGCTTGTCAATTAAACTATGTGGTGGCGGCCATGATTAAAATCATACCAATCTGATCAATATCATAAAAAAAAAAACTGATTTATACATTTCTGAATCCTCAAAATAAATCTACAAGATGGATACAAAAATCAGACTAGACGCGTATAGATGAGTTATATTTACCCATACATTTCCGGAAAATATAAAGTGGCGTCTATACACCAGAGCATATTAGTTAGCCGAATCAATTAGAAAAAAAGAAAGAAAGAAAAAAGAATGAAGAATGCTCACCGTCTTTGAAGTTAAGCATTCGTGTGGTAAGTGCCCATACTATTAATGGTTATGGCTTTATACAAAACGAGTCAAAACCATAAAAACAAAAGATTCGTTATTCACCTTCTAAGATAAAAAGATAACTCTCCAAACATGAACTTACCTTGCAAGCAAAGTATTCTTATCTTCATCTATTTATCTCCCATTACTTAACCTTATCCTCACTGAGATTGTTGTTGTAATAATGTTTTCTACTTTTCAATGATCGTAAGCTTCAAGAATGAAACTTGAGACAAGCTTACTATTGGTGCGTTAAAATTCGCCATGCATAATTTTTTTTTGAGAAAGAAAAAAAAAATGCATGTCAAACTTCTTTAATGATCCAATTCTAGAAGATAATAGATGATTTTGTGACTTTTGTCAACGATATAAATATTAAACAAGGGGAAGCAAAGACATGATGAATCATCACATTGGCCTAACGAAGCTTACCAAATCGCACAAATGAATACATAAGGATAATTTTTTAAGATTCGAAAGGAATCTTTAGGTTTTGTCAAAAACTTAAAAGTGACCAACCAACAAACCAATTCGGCCGATTTGGCACCTTTCTTCTTTACTTCACTTCTCACTTTCCCCTACGAGTTTTAAAATTTTTAAAATAATTGATTTGGATATGTATATATGCCCTATTTTCTACTATATTGTTATCATATCACCCATAATTGCTCTCAATAATATGCCATTTAATTATTATTATTTCCAAGACTAAGATTGAGTCATTGAGTAGTAGTCATCAAATAGAAACAGTTATGTAACGTGGGATAACAAGATTTTGATGTAATAGTTCAACATTTTTTCTCTTTTGCAGGCCAACAAACCTTGAAACTCTATAGAAATCAACATTTTTGCAAACATATATAAAAAATTGGATTTGGTGAAAAAAAAATCGTGATTTTAATTAATGTACATGTAACCAATCGAAGATTCGGAGACTAACAAAGCTACATTGATCTCCCTAAATTGAAGATCTTCACTAATTTTAATCCCTATACTTTCTATAATTCACCCAATTGACCCCCAAAATCAATTTTAAATATTCCCCAATACATTCTTGCTCATGGACCCACTAATCATTGTTCCTTCACAACTCACCCTCACCATAATCCAATCTCCACCTTCCATATCCCATCTGGGCCCATCCAACACACCAACACATCTCAGCCGTCCGATCTTCTCCGAATAACAAGCCCACAATTTTAAACGGTCTAGATCTCTCGAATCCTCCTGTAATTCCTCTGTTTCTTCTTCTTCCTCCTCCACCGATCTCCAAAACGTTTGATCTGTCACACTTGTCGGTGAGCATGAAACCCAACCGGAAACCAAAACCGGTTCAATGTCCGGTTTAGTTACCAAAAACGGATGGTTTAGGAGTTGTGTTGCCGTCCATCTCTCATTTGCTTCTCTCTTCAAACACTTCTCCAAGAAATCCTTTGCTTCTTTCGTAAGCAAACGTGGCAGCTCCGGAGTCTCACCGGAATACCCGACCCGATAAAGAACCGAAACCGGATCCTCCCTCATATTCGCCTCCGTCCACGGCGGAGACCCCGTAGCCATCTCAATCACCGTACACCCAACCGCCCATATATCACTCTCCTTCCCCTGTTTTTCTCCACGCGCCACCTCCGGAGCCATAAACGCCGGCGTTCCCATCACCGGCGACTCAACTTCCGGGTCAACCCGTTTCGCACACCCGAAATCCGCAATCTTGGCCACACCTTTATCCGCAACGACCACGTTACTCCCCTTTACGTCGCAATGCGCGATCCCTTTCGAGTGAATATACTCCAATCCTCGAAGTATCTGGCGCGTGTACTTCACGACCTGAGCTTCGTCGAGTCGGCCTCCGTTTTTCGCCGCCGCGTCGGTCAACTTTCCGTACGGTGCGTACTCCATCAAAAGGTTATGCGTAACGACGCCGTTTGACTCTGTTTTGGTTTCCGATCCTCTGTATCCGATCACGTACGGTGAATTCAGCGACGAGATGATCGTGGCTTCTCTTTGCAAGAACTCTGATCGGTGAAGCTCGGCGGATTTAACGGCGAGGATTTCGTTTGAATTGTGACACGTGGCGGCGTAGACGGTGGCCGTGGAGCCTCGGCCTAGGATTCTTCCTCTAGTCCATTCCATTTTGGAGAAGACTAGAGAGAAACTTATATTAAAAAAAAATGTTTTTTTTTTGTTGTGTGTCTTGTTTTGCTTTTTTACACTCTCTTATTCAACAGAAGGTTTATATAAGGGGCAACGAACTTTTTTTTTTTGTTTGGTGGATTAGATAGTGTATACTTTTGGTAACATCGAGTTTATCTACCAACGCTAAAATTTTAAACTATGATGAATATAATAACGTAGATATGTTATTGTGTGTACACGTGGATTTCTCTCTGAAGTTGATAACCAAATGAAAACCCTTTTGATTTTGATTTGAAATGTGTAGAATATGTGAAGTTTGAAGAGTACAAAAAATAGGGTTTTAGGAAACGTGAGTGAAATATCAACTGGCGTGTGACGTGGCAGTGGAACATATCTAACGCAACGCACAAGTTCGTTGAGTCTGGTGACGTGGCTTTTCTTTGGTTTTTTGGCGAGTCTGTACTCTTTGGACTACAGTCTCTAGAAACGATGACGTGTCGAGCTATGTATGGTCAAAGAAACTTTTTAGTTTCTGCTTCCGACCGTAGTTCCGTATATCTCTCGAGCTACGTGTCCACAAGCTTTAGATGCTACGTGGTGTTTACAATTGGCCTAATGTTTGTTTTGTTTTGTGTAATGGAAGAAACAATTATTATAAATATTAATTTGATTTGTGGTTTCTTATGAGTTTGGTATAAGAAAAGAAAAATTAGTGGAGAGGAGAAGTTGGGCACTTTGGTAGATTTTGATCGATCATCTGCACACTTGGAGCTTTGTCGTTACACTTCGTGATCGTCTATATATTTTTACTTTCTTTAGATTTTTCTCCAGATATTTTTTGGTCTCATTCGTATCATTCTTATCTTATTTTATAAAATATATACAGACTTATCTAACAGCGTTTTTGATCTGTTTGTTTTGGTCTATTATCTTGTTAACTTATTGATATTTTGACAGTTATTATTTTGTTTTTTTCATCGCATTTTTTTTACAACATTTCATAGCAAAACATAACTGGGATTTCAGTATGTTTTAAAACTTCATGCCTAAGTACAAACAGACAAACAGACGCAACATGCATTATCATTTAGGATCTCTATATATATAAACAAGTATTTTTTCCTTTGAAAAATATCATAGTTGCTAGTTGTGTGCCAAGTATTAATGGGATATCCATTTTTTCCACCGGAGACCAAGACTATAATAGTCAACTGGTTATCATACAGATAATAGACGTTTGTTAAACAAATATTCTGACAAGAATACCACATTATATGTCGGAACAATAGTATATATTAAGAAGCTTCTTTTCATAGGTTATTGATCGTTTACCCCTTGGAAAGAAAATAAACGAAAGTGAGCGGTGGTTTTAACCACCATTATCGGTTGAGGATTAAGAAATAAATAATCATTTTCAAATATGATTAGGTCTGTTTTATGGTTCTAACTTACAACTTACATTCAAATTAAAGTTAAGTTCACATATAGAACCACGACTAATTAGGCTAATGATGGTTTTTCTTTACTCGCCTTTCTTTCGTTCGTTGCACTCCATCCAAACTGCTATTTCATTATCAGTTTACGACTCATTTTTTTTTTGAAAAAAACATTTAATGACTTAAATTGCAATATGTCGTCTCATCTAAAGTCTACCTGAATTTCGGAATATATCAACATGGTATTGAATATGACAACTTCATCGTGTAAAATGAATTTTTTGTTATATTTTCATGACATTTTGTCTCTAATATTAAACGGATTTTGGTGAAAACCGGATTTCAAATTCAAAACCTCAACAAGAGATCGACGAAAATCATAGATTACAGGATGTCATGATAAAAAATTCCACAAATGTCTCTTAGCAATTTTAGTTAGTGCCTATGAAATTTTAAACTTTGGCCAATTAATGTTAATATGGAATCGGTAACCAAAGTAGGTTATACGATCTTTCTTTATTTCTTGAATTTGAATTCGATATAAGCTAAACGTCCAGAATAAAGTCATGTGATTATGTAAGCCACGCGGAATGTTTTGCACATAGTGAATTATTCAAACCCGGACTGTAACGAGTTTATATACGTCCTTCCGCTTCTACCCGGTAAGGCGGTAACCCGGGCATGTATCAACTGGTCGTAAACAACTTGAATATATATTGTTACACATATGCTCTGTTTTTCATAACTGTTTTATAGGTTAATTATTCAAATGTTTAATCGTGACTTTTTGCTTTTATATTTTTAGTTTTCGAATAAGTAAATATAATTTCCGTGTTCTTTGCTAAGTTTTCAAGTACGTTCGTATGGTTCCAGACTTCCAGGTTAGTTTTCATTCGAAGATTTTTTTTTCTGTAACACTAATGAATGAAATATGGTGCTTTTAATGTACAAAATGGTAAGACATATTATGAATACAAAAACATATAAGCACGGAGGAAATGTGTAAAACTAATGCATATATGTAAAGTTAAGATTGTATGTAAACACATGACATGAAAACAAGGAAGAATGTAAAAGGGCAAGAACGCCTACTTCAAGCAACAACCTACTCAATTTTAATAGTATCCATCTCACTAGAAAGCTATACAAAAAAAGAAAAGGAAACAAAAAGTTAATAAACGAAATAATATTTCAGAAAATAAAAGTAAGTACTTATGCCCACAACTTTTGGTGGTTAACGCCATAAACCATACATACAAGTATATATACAACACTGAATTTACGATTTAGGAGACTATTATCTTAAACATGGGATAGAAAATTTAAAAACATTTTTAAAATTTGATTAGTTCTGTAATCTATGAATGAAATCGAGAAAATCGATTTTTCTTTTTTATGATTCACCAAGCAAGATATTTGTTTCGAAATTTGTCTCAACCATACAAATAAATTTATTAAGAAAAATATATAATGCGTGAGAAAAGCAAAATAGACCTCTTTCGTTGCTTCAAAATAGAAACTCTAGATATTAAGAGTAAGACATAAGGAACTCATATTCCCTGCTCTCTTTTCTAGAAAAAGCAAATTTATTTCAGATTAGAAAATTAGGATCGGATAGTGAATCAATTTCATATGGTCCATATATTTCATTTTATTTTAAATTTATTATTTGAAATTAATATTTATGTAACTGGTAAACTTTAATACTGAAAATATATATCTGATTATCTGCAGACGATTTGCTTACATTACACACTAGTCATCGATGGTACTCAAAACCCGTGCCAATACTTTACTCATTTTTTAATCCGCAGAATAAGACACCCAGCCAATGAGAGTCCAAAACAATTATCTCCAATGATTAGAAAAATCATTATTACCACAATATTCCCTAGGTGTCAATGTAGATATCGTTTAAATTTTTTTTTCAACGTTAATTAAAGAACAAAGTAAATACTCCTATAATATTAGGTCTGTACAAAAACAAAAATTTATTGGAATTATGTTTTACAATGTATGCTCTTTACTAGTTTTAGTTAGGAGTAACATAAATACTACTAGGAAAATTTATCAGGATAAGCATCCCACATTCCCACGCTCTACATTACCGCATTTCTCAAATGAGAATTTGATATATATCGAACATCCCTTTTCAAAGGAGAGTTTCTACCTTTTTATGGGTTTAAATGTTTATCATGGCGTCCCTCTACCCGATGTCGAGAGGTTATCGCTGTATCAGGTCGATGCTTCCTGGATAAGTAACGGCCTGGTCAGTGGGCTCAGATGGAGTCTAAAGAATGAGAGGGGTGGTGAGATCTTTGGCCTACAGGACTGCCGTAGAAGCCTATCGGCCCTTCATGCTGAATTGGAGAGTCTGTTATGGGCTATGTCTTGTGTGATAGAGAGACAAATCTTATCCGTTCACTTTCAGACCGATTGTTCGGATTTGGTAAGCATGTATGAATCTCCATCGAATTGGCCATCTTTTTCATCAGAGCTGGAAGCCCTTCGTATTCTTCGGAAAAGCTTTTTGAATTTCAATCTATCACATATCCCCAGAAGTTCAAATGTCCGAGCAGATAGTCTTGCAAAATGAGCTCGAGTAAGAGACGATATTTTCTCCCAAATCATTCATAACGAACCAACTGAAGATGGTTTTCGGACCAATTCCTTAATGGGCCAAATGTGATGTAACAATTGGGTTGTGGAAAAAAAAAATGTTCATCATGGCGCGTCTAGCAAAACAAAAAATGTTCATCATGGTCAACTATTTTCCTAGCTCCAGTCGGTGTTTGATCAATGAATCTAATAGTCCAATTTTCAACATATTTTTCTTACCTTTTTGTTGCCTATGGTTTTTTATTGGGTTCTCACTTGCTTTTGACCGTGGAGTTCCTTTAGCTCATGCACGTTTTATGGGTTTCTACTAAATATACTAGCTCACATAACGCAATTTTGTCGGTTGATTTGATAATATCGTATCATATGTCGGCATGCGATAGAAAAGATATTTGGGCAAACGTTAGTGACGTATATGATATACGGTATTTCTTATGCGGTGAGAAATTAATTGTGAATAAAGCTTGTGAGTGTTTCGCGCTTCAAATGTTTGGTTTGAAGTCATTAGCCGACATTACACTTCAATAGAAAAATCAGAACAATATCTAAATTGTTTATCAGCGAAACGTGTTTACTATTTATACGTTTTCTAATATAGTTTTGATTAGTTAATATTTAGGTTCTGATTGGTAGAAATACTGCAAGCTGGTGGCATGAAGAGCTGATGAATATGAAGAATCTCATACAAATATTAAAATATAGTGTGACTGGATAAGTTTTGTAAAATAGCAGATTATGATTTATCCATACATATAAACTTAAATAAGTGGTCAAACATTCATGTATACCCAACTCACCCTATTATTGATTATAAGATTTTTCTATATGTTCACAGCCAATATTTAATTTATTACATGACTTAATTTAATCAGATCCAAAATATCTATATTCAACTGTATAACTAACTGCACTATAATTTTTTCAAATCAATGTGACATATATTAAAATTTAAGGGTTTTGTGAATCCTAATCATACATGTAATCATTTCTTATACATTCCAAATCTCTCCTCTATTGTATCCTATCGCGTTCTTTCTCCACTTGTATTATATTTTGATGAACGTTTTAATTAGTCCTTGATGATACAATATATATGGGTTAAAAAATATGTACTAATGTATGATTTATTAACTAATTTGGCATAAAAGAACTCTAACCTTCCACAGTAAAAGTACGATCAATTTGGTTGTTATAGTATTGAACTGTGTAAATTGAAGTTATTTGTGCTGAGAAAAGATGATTTTCTGCATGAGTAAATTATATTAAATGTGAATAAAAAATTGAAAATTGTGTCAACAAAGAAAATGAAAAAGCTAAGTTTTGGCAGCTGTTAATCAAACTAGTTAATGCATGTGTAGGTATAGCAGAGATACAATTTTATTAAGGCTAAGTTTTGGCAGCTGTTAATCAAACTAGTTAATGCATGTGTAGGTATAGCAGAAATACAATTTTATTTGTATTTTTCATCCAAGTACAAATGTAATCTATATTCCAATTACAAAAGTAATTTTATTTAAATTTTACAATCTTTTCATTCAACTTATCAAAATCGTAAGTAAATGCCGATTACTTCCGAGCATAAACAGACCCCTTGAAGCACGAGTAAAGCACTTGAACCGACACCTATAAATTCAAGTGGCCCAAATCAAACGATTTAGACATTCGTATATAAATCACATTAAGAAACGTGTCTCTTAACGAAAATTGCCAACGAAGCCATAAAAATGGTTTTTTTTATTTTTTATGGGCGCTTTGGATACTGAGGAGTTGTTAAAGTCGTAAACATGAAGCTGAACTCGTTGAATATTTATGTTATTAATTAGACCCTATTATTTAACGGATAAGCAGATGTCGGTGTCAGATTTGAGTAACTTTAGCCAATACTACAAACGTTATACAGTACATACATACCTATACAAATACAATGCTATTTGCCGACAAAAATAAAAATACAATGCTGAAACACATGCAAAATTTAATTTCAATATTCTTTGTGTATAGAAATTCCAATCTTTTTTCGTACAATTTTTTTTTTGAATTTATATCCTATCATTTTTGCATTCTTGTTAACTATGATAGAAGTAGCTAAAATTAGTACATATTGTCATATATCTAAATGGATGATTAACTTGTTTAAGAGATTGATTCATAATGATATTCGTCATTATATCCTTAACTTGTTTAAGGAGTGATTCATACACTATCATTTCCTTGTTTCCGGAATTATAATCATACACAAACACATCGATTTCAGTTCGAATTTATAAAACAAAAAAACCTTCCAACATTTCGACACAAAACCACAAGCAAACATACAAACCCCTTTATTTGATTCTCAGATTAACGTCCTAAGAGCAATGTTCCTTATTCAAGATCATTAGACATCACAAAATATTTCGGGACTTACATGAACACTGTCTGACAAAAGGAAGCTTTAAACCAAGTAATGTTTCATCCAAGAATTGAAGCGAGACCAAGCAAGCTCCACCGCAGCTTCGTCTTCATCAGAAAGTCCCATGCTTTTCCTTCTGCTCACTCCTTCCGGGCTCCTGTTCAAGAACGCATGCCCGTTCCCTGAGTAAATATGGACCTCGTGTGGTACTCCTGACGCTTTCAGCTTCTCTTCGAGATTCTTTGCTGCCTGCAAAGATGGTAATAGTCCATGGATTCATGATAGAATCTCATGTAATTTTCCAGACGGATTTGAGATGTAGTGTAATGGTATCTATACCGTGACATCAGAGAAACCGACAAAATTGTCAAGCTCCCCAAAATGAGCCTGAATAGGTGCCTTGGCTTGAGCTGGATCTGCAAGCTCTGAGGAAGGGGTTCCATAGAATCCGACAACAGCATCCACCTCTGGAACCAAAACAGAGCTAGCTATGGCTAGTGCACCTCCCATGCACATTCCAGTCACACCAACCTGTAGCCATATTTATAATTTATTCGTTTTGTTAAAGAAAATTTCATGAAATCTGAAGCATTTGTTGTACAAGTTTTGGCACCTTCTTTGAGCCATTGGCTTTTAGCCAATTAACAGAAGCGTGGATATCTTTGATGGCACCTGGCCAGTCAAGGCCATCCATAAGATGCTGTGCCTCTGCAGTATCAAGACCAACTTTTCCTCGATACAAGCTACAAAAAAAAAAAAATTGCTGTGAGAAGATATATTTTGACAATGGGAATAAGCTAAATCTCGTATTGCAAGATGAACTCACTCGGGTATAAGGGCTTTGAAACCAGGCTCAAGTTGTGAGATTTTAATAGCGTGGTTCTTGATCTCAAAGTCAACACCCCACCATTCTTGAATCACCACGATCCCGGGCGCATCATCTTTACCGACCACATAGGCATCAAATGTCTGACCAAATAGATCACAGAAAGATATATGAAAAAGGGATGAACACTAAATAGTTTTGTTGTCGAAATGAAGGCTATAGAAGACGCATATACAAAGCCAAATTCTTGTACATAATCCTTGTAACTACTAATCTCTGATGCTCAAAAGAAATCTGAGTCTCCATTGCCGAAAGAGTTTCAACCACAGCAGAAGAACAAGGCCGAAAACTTTGACAAGACAACACAACCTAAACAATACTAAACTTACACTGATCATTTGGGAAACAGCTTCAGTACGTATCAGAAACTCAAATCCGAACTTAAATTACAAGTTTTACAGCCAAAATTCGATAAAACTACGAGTTAAACGGAAACTTTCACCACTAGCTAAGATCAAAATCATTATCTCTTACTCCCATCACCAGTTTCTCTACCTCACACACTAGACGACCATGATAGCAGAAACGCTACTGAAACGAGCAAACGATCAATCTTACGCATTCAAATATAAAGAAACGAATAGAATCGATACTTCATACACAGCAGATTCAGAGACTTGGAATTAGAAAACAATGATTTATTCCACTCAACGGGAACAAATAGCTAAACTAACAATTCAACACCAGGAAATACGGTCTATGGATAATCCAAACAGAGCACCACCAAAGGCACTAAGTAGAGAAAAACTCAGGCCAGGGACAGAGAACAGAAGCTTACGGTGTCATCTCTTTTGATCTGGATTTTCTTGAAAGCGGAATCGGCCATTAATCGAACTGATAAGCGAGAAAACGAAGGAATCGAAGATCTAGAGAGCGAACAAGTCTTTCCGATGGAAGAAGAGAAGAATCTGGAAGATGAAGATGACACTAATGCACCCAACATTTCTCGACTCTGATAGTAAATAATCTTTTGCGGCCTACGGGGAAACGAATTTTTCACGGTCAACCCAAGCGAGACTAGACGACGTCGTCTATATAACCATGAATATGGGCCCAGTTTGATTTGATTTACAGGAGCCTTTTTCGCCGCAATTTTCCTTTTTGTCTTAGGCCCAATTTCTTAAAGGTATGTTTGAAGGCCCAATTATCGTTTACACAAATAAATCTATGTTACTACCCGTACATTCTAGATTGGTAAGTAGTCGTAAGCCTGCACCGTATTTCATACGGCTCTGGTCTCTTCTTATTTTTGTTTTTTTTGTTTTTTTTTCGAACTATACGGCTTTGTCTCCTTTCTCCCAATTATTAGCTTAATAAATACTTATATCTTTGTGTGTACTGTGTAACCATGGGTCCATGACCAACCATTTAGATTTCGTTTTTGGATTTTCTTGGTTTCTCGATTCGATGAAAATGACTCGATAATTAAGTCGTCTCTATATGAGGTTCAAATCTACTGCGAGATTGTGTGTGGATGGACGAAAATTTAGTTATATATATATATATATATATATATATATAAAGAAAGAAAATTCAACCAACAATTTTTTGTAAAAAGGATCAACCATAAAGTATTATTCAAAATTTCGAACGGAAGATATGATGTAAATGTAAAATTTGGGGCTAATTTATGTTTTCCTCATGTTAAGTAAATCACTAATGAGTAGACAAATTTAAATTTGTTCAATTTATGTCTTTCGACCATGTCCAAAAACATATATCCTAAAAATAAAATAAAAAGCAATATAGTTAATTTAGACGTTTGACTAAGTGATAATGTGTTAGTGGTATCTATTTGTGAAGGAGTTGCTATATTGATTTAGGTGTGTGATCGATTATCCACAAACATAAAATTATTTAATATTTCTCATTTGAACAGTCCAAATTGTGTCATATCTTATATCCATTAAAAAAATGGTGAATACAGCTACACGTATCCTAGAAAAATTAGTCAGACAGTAAAAAAACAGGATTCTGTTAATGAAAAAAAGAGAGACCTGTACATTGCAAATGCATGATCAAGCCCCAAAATTCTTTTGATCTTTAGAACCAAACTAGCCATAAACTATATAGTAAATAATCTATGAACCAGTTAACTGTATCGCGCCACTGTCTTACACCAACGATTCCAATCTTCTCACAAACATCGCAGATAATACCTAACCTTGGTGAGACGCCTCTGCGTACACATGTATATCTCTCAAATAGAGATCAAGTTAACGTAGTGATGAGATATGGTGATGTGTTTAGAGGTTTGATATATTAAAAAGCCTAAAAAAAACAAAAGGGAAAGGAAGTAGATAGTTCATGCATCTAACGACAAAGCCACTAACCAATTTCAGAAAAATGAGTCTGTCACGTATGTTTTCCATTCCTAAAAAGGCGATGTAAGGAGATAATTAGGCTTCGTTTTAGACAGTTTTATCGATTTTATTACTTCAAATTCTCTATTGAATTCGTTTTTGATATAAGAATGTTAGTTAAGAAACATTACGTGACTTCTCTTTTTTTTTTTTAATGTGCGACGACTACTCATCATTCACCACGAGAACAAACGTGCTAAAAAGACAAAACTCGTCATCTTAAACTGAACCAGACCACAAAAAAATCAACACAAATGGACAAAGATATACACATCATGCAGAAACTGATCAATGGTAATAAGTGGATTGGCCCAATTTCTTTATATATTATCCAAAAAATTTCTTTTATGATCCAATAATCTCTATCAAATTTTAATCTTTCGAGATAATGATTCTTTTACCCATTAATTTCGACAGATCATCAATTCCGGGTCCGAAGGCATATGCTATTTTTGGGCCGAATTACGAGAGTATACGGATTAGATTCTGATATCATGTTAAGTTCCTGAACTTCCAACTCAAAATTTATTGACAATTAATAAATTAGCCCAAATTCTTTATATATTACCCAATGTTTCTTCCAATTTTCGATGTGGGATAGTTCTCACACAATAATCTCTATCAAATCCCAATATACCTTGTCACACAAAATGGTATATTCAAATTTCGATGGTAAATGGTAACACAATAACGGTGTTAATGAGACTTCAATATCAAGAATTGATGCGTTGAAAAAATTTCTTCCATTCTAACTTAACTAAACTTCTGATATGATATAGGAAAATATTTTAACTTTCAGCTGATCTGGTACTTAAGATCAGCCTAGCTAGTATTTAGTAACATACTTAGAGGTTATGTTTTGATTTACGTGCATTTAAACGGTGTCATAATGTGTATATTTAAGCTTCTGCATTATAATTCTTAATATATCAACCAAAATTTGTACAATACGTATACGTCTATAATTTATGAATAAATGATATTGTAGTGTATTTTTTTAGTTCATGTATCTATATAACAAAGTAGTCCAATTTCGTTTGACTGTGACTAATTTTCTTTGTTTTTTTTTTTTGTGTTTTTTGTTAATAGTACTTATAAATATATACTCTTTGTTATAACAATAGTACCTGCAGCATTCGTAGACGTTACGCACTGTTTTACTTAACCCTTTAGAAACATATCCGAAAACGCAGGAAAGCTCATCCCATGGCGGATTCAAGCTCTTCTCTTCCTCCTCTCAGCGAAAAGATCTCATACAAAAGCTATTTTCTAAGAGCTGTGGATCTCACGATTCTTGGCCTCCTCCTTTCTCTTCTCTTGCACCGAGCCGTACATATGAGCCAAAACGACACCGTTTGGGTCGTAGCCTTCCTCTGCGAATCTTGTTTCTCCTTCATATGGCTGCTTATTACTTGCATAAAATGGTGTCCTGCTGAACATAAACCTTTTCCAGATAGACTAGATGAAAGGTAACGTTTCATATACACTCATCTGCACTGAAACGAGGATTCTTATTAATCTTGTATATAGTTCTAGCGATGAATCTGGCCCAGTAATTGTATTAATTTCAGGATTCATGACCTTCCATCGGTAGATATGTTTGTGACCACGGCGGATCCGGTTCGGGAGCCGCCGATTCTGGTTGTGAACACCGTGCTTTCGCTGTTAGCTGTGAATTATCCGGCGAACAAACTAGCTTGTTATGTTTCGGACGATGGATGCTCATCTCTCACTTACTTCTCTCTCAAGGAAGCTTATAAGTTCGCCAAGATTTGGGTTCCTTTCTGCAAGAAATACAACGTTAAAGTTAGAGCTCCTTTTAGATATTTCTTGAACCCTTTGGGCTCATCCGAGGATTCTGAATTTAGTAGGGAATGGGAAATGACAAAGGTAAGTAAAGAGCCATGTTGTTTTTTTTATTAAGTCTACTTTTAAAACAAAAACGAGCATAATAGTTTTGTTTTATTGATCAAACATCATTTGAAATTAATTTGTGAAAGTAAAAATATGAAAGGCGAGTAAAGAAAATTGCGTGCCGAATTTTTTTTTCATAAATTTCAAAATATGTTTGACAAAAAGTAGCTGGTCTTAGATTCTCATGTTATTAAGAATTTCTTGAAAATGTTTTGTTGTTGTTGTTGTTCTATTAATTTTAAGAGGGAATACGAGAAGTTCATCCAGAGAGTGGAAGACGCCAGCGGAGATTCTTATTGGTTGGATGCTGACGATGATTTTGAAGCTTTCTCAAACGTGAAACCAAATGATCATTCAACTATAGTGAAGGTATTCTTATAATATATTTAGAGTACGAAACAAATAAGAAATAATCACTAACTATATTTACTCGCATAACAAAAGGGTTAAAGTAAGCTCCTAGTCTCCTACTAGACTTTTTTAAATAATTTCTTGTAATTTTTTTTTTAAAATTGTGTGGGCTGAACCTATTAATCTAGTTGGTTCGTTGATTGTTTGGTTGGAAAAAAACAAAGGTTAGATATAGTAGTAATATGTACATATTTTTCAGCCTCTACACATTTGTCAGAACTTTCAGAACTTTTCAGCCTTGTACTAATTTTTTTTCCTTTGTTGATCTATAAATTATATTTCAATAAAAAAATAAAATTAATGTGTGAGTGAACTTGTATGTATATGTGAAGGTGATATCGGAGAACAAGAGAGGTGTCGGAGACGAGAAAGAGGTCCCTCATATTGTATACATTTCAAGAGAGAAAAGACCAAATTACCTTCATCACTACAAAGCTGGGGCAATGAACTTTCTGGTTAGGGATTTTCTCCCACATTTTACTTTCTCTTTTTAGAAACTTTCAAAAATTACGTAAGTAGCTAGTGTTAGTACGTATACGGTGAAACAGTTACAATATTGGCCGCTATGAATTATGATATACATTTGCAGATGTTTTAATTTAGTGGTGGTAATAAATCAGACGGGATTTCATTGAAAACTAGTATGATTATAAAAGAAATTATTAGCGTGGATATAGTATAGAGATTTGTAAGTATATTCAAGGAATGACAAAAAAAAAGTTATACGGATCAGGAAAACAGTAAAGAAGAAAGTGACATCTACTCCCTTATTGCCAATCACATAATTGATGGGTCCAACTATTTATAGTACAATGTGCCATGTGATATGACTGAAACGATTGTTTACATTTTGTTGCATGTGACAGTCCACATTAGTTGTTGAAATGGAAAGACTTGTAAAACATGCATTATGGGTACATCTATCTACGTGTTAGCTAAACACGCACGTAAAACTAAACAATCATGGTAACATTGTCTTTGAAGATAATGTGATACATATCTTATGAGTAAGCCATTGTCTTTGAATTTTTTTTTTTTTTTTTGAACAGGTAAGAGTGTCAGGTTTGATGACAAATGCACCGTATATGCTGAACGTAGACTGTGACATGTATGCGAATGAAGCAGATGTGGTGCGACAAGCAATGTGTGTATTTCTTGAAGGATCAATGAATCAAGACCATTGTGCTTTTGTTCAGTTCCCTCAAGATTTCTATGATTCTAACGCCGGCGAACTCGTCGTCCTACAAACAGTAAGATCTTTTTTTTTCATTACTTATTTATAACATTTGATCGATTGAATTTTATTTATTGATTGAAAAACAGTATTTGGTACGAGGAATTGCGGGAATCCAAGGACCGATATATGCAGGCTCCGGATGCTTCCACACCAGAAGAGTTATGTATGGTTTATCTCCAAACGATTTAGAAGACAATATAAGTCTTTCTTCGTTTGCTACAAGTAAGTATTAGAATCCCGTAAGATCACAGATTTCTATTAACATTATTTAAAAAAATTGATTGATACCAACTTTCATGATTATTATTATTATTATTATTTATTTTTTATTGAACTCTAATGTAGTTATCATTCTAAACGTACCGGATCTTGTTGTTATTTAATTAAGGGAAGTTTTTGGCCGAGGAGAGTTTAGCGAGAGTTTTTGGGAATTCTAAGGAGATGGTGACATCGGTAGTCGATGCATTACAAAGAAAATCAAATCCCCAAAATAGCCTTACAAACTCCTTAGAAGTGGCTAAAGCAGTGGGACACTGTAACTACGAATACCAAACCAGCTGGGGCAAAACGGTAACTCCCTTCTCAAATGAATCATTTAGCCTAAATCAAAAACTAATATTGTATACAATAATATAATGCGTTTTCTTTTCTAACCATAAAATTTTATATTTATGTTCATAAAATTCGTTGTTATTGTTACATATAAATTGTTCAGATTGGTTGGTTATACGATTCAACGTCGGAAGACGTGAACACGAGTATTGGAATTCATTCGAGAGGGTGGACTAGCTCATATCTATTACCAGAACCTCCGGCGTTTCTTGGCTGTATGCCACCGGGAGGACCGGAGGCGATGCTTCAACAGCGGCGATGGGCTACAGGCTTGCTTGAAGTCCTTTTTAACAAACAAAGTCCTTTAATCGGAATGTTTTGCAAGAAAATAAGATTCAGACAAAGCTTGGCTTATCTTTACATTTTAACTTGGGGTCTGAGGTCAATCCCTGAACTCGTTTATTGTCTCTTGCCTGCTTATTGCCTACTCCACAACTCTTCCTTATTTCCCAAGGTGAATCTCTCTCTCTCTATCTCTCACTCACTTATAATTGTTAATCATATATTTAGTTTAGAGGATTAAGTTTTTTGTTTGTTCTTTGTGGTTGTAGGGAGTTTGTTTAGGTATAATCGTCACACTTGTGGGGATGCACTGTCTCTACACTTTATGGGAATTTATGAGCCTTGGTTTTTCCGTACAGTCATGGTATGTCTCCCAATCATTTTGGAGAATAAAGACCACTTCTAGTTGGTTATTTAGCATCCTTGATATCATACTTAAGCTTCTTGGAGTTTCGAAAACTGTCTTCATAGTCACTAAAAAGACTATCTCCGAGACCAAGTTAGATTCTAAGGATGGATCATCTCAAAGAGATAAAGACGATGATGGTCCAAAAGCAGATTCAGGTAAATTTGAGTTCGATGGCTCGCTTTATTTCTTGCCCGGCACATTTATTGTGTTGATAAATTTAACCGCTATAGCCGGTTTTTCAATGGGTCTACAACGGTTGAATCCTAGTTACAAAGGAGGTGGTTCAAGCTTAGCAGAAGTTTGTGTATGTGTTTTGGTGGTTATGTTGTTCCTTCCTTTTCTCAAAGGTTTGTTTGAGAAGGGAAAATATGGTATCCCATTGTCTACTCTTTCTAAAGCTTCCCTTTTAGCAGTGCTGTTTGCATTTTTCTCTGTAAGAAACTAGTATGGCGATAGATATGGGGTTGTCATGCAACTAAACTAAGCTAAGTTTATCATGACATTGTCCTAACGAATCATTAATGGTATTTATGCTGAATTATGCAATTAGTTTTTATTTTTTTATCAATGTATATATTTCTTTGTCAGCTATTATATAAGGACTGGATCTGGGCCAAGCCCATTGAAACATTTGTTTCAAACCCCCAAATTTTTTTGTCCAATTTAATTTATAAATTTTTTTTTTAATTTTTTTTTTTTATAAAATCAATTAGGCCTATATTTCTGTTTTTGTTTCAAGCTCCCAAAATCTCAGATCCGGTATATACTATGCGTGCAAAATGGTTTTGAAACCATTTGGGAAATTTTGGTATAGTTTTCGGAGAAATATATATATATATCTACTATTAACGTAACAGCCAAGGCGGCTTTTATCTTCTTGTATTCAATCTCGCAGGTCATTAGTCATAGTCTACATTAAGATTTCTAGCTCGGAAAGAAGAGGGAAAAGACTGTAATAAATACGTTCCTACATCTTTGACAAACAAAAAAGTTTCTTCATGTGAGCATGTGAAGAAGACTATGAATCGATAGAACAACGTCAACGCATTTCGAGGACCCTTAATTAGCGCTGAAGTAAACCTTTGGCTTTACCAATACACCATTTTCCATTGATATAAATTCTTTTCATTATTTAATTTGCAAAGTTAACTAACTTTTCCATTACGTAAAACAAATTAATCAACGTTAATTATCAATTCAAAAACCATTGCCACTTCCGTATATGCTTAAAACCTACGTACATGTCTATATACATTTTATATATATAGTTTGTCAGAATGCTTTTTACTTTTTTTGTTAAGTTTCTCAGAATAGTAGTATCCAAAAACCGCAAGAAAGCTTCTCCCATGGCGGATTCAAACTCTTCTCTTCCTCCTCTCTGGGAAAAGATCTCATACGAAAGCTATTTTCTAAGAGCTGTAGATCTCACGATTCTTGGCCTTCTCGTTTCTCTTCTCTGTCACCGAATCCTGCATATGAGCCAAAACGACACCGTTTGGGTCGTAGCTTTCCTCTGTGAATCTTGCTTTTCCTTCATATGGCTGCTAATTACCTGCATAAAATGGAGTCCTGCTGAACATAAACCTTATCCAGATAGGCTTGATGAAAGGTACCACTTTCATATACACTCATCGACACTAATACAAAGATTCTTATTAATCTTGTATATAGTTCTAGCTATGAACTGGCTTAGTAATTGTATTAATTTCAGGGTTCATGACTTTCCATCGGTAGATATGTTTGTGACCACCGCGGATCCGGTTCAAGAGCCCCCAATTCTGGTTGTGAACACCGTGCTTTCGCTGTTAGCTGTGAATTATCCGGCGAACAAACTAGCTTGTTATGTGTCAGACGATGGATGCTCACCTCTCACTTACTTCTCTCTCAAGGAAGCTTCTAAGTTCGCCAAGATTTGGGTTCCTTTCTGCAAGAAATACAACGTTAGAGTCAGAGCTCCTTTTAGATATTTCTTGAACCCTCTTGCCTCATCAGAAGATTCTGAATTCAGTAGGGAATGGGAAATAACAAAGGTATTTTGTTTTACTTATTGTGCTTCAACAAAAAAAATATGACGTTTAAAAAACCAATTTTTTTTTCTGTCATTTGAAACAATCGAGGCAGAAATCAATAACCACGCACATTCTGACTATATGTTCTTAGAGCAACCTCAATGAACTCTTCATAGGGTTCATTTTCAATTTTTTATTCATTTAATTTTGAAGAATGAAAAATTTAGAATTTATCAAATTTTCTTCTCCAATGGTGATTCTCTCCAGAGGTTCACTGTTTCGGGGGAAGAGAAAAATTGTTGCAGAAAAAAAAAATTCTTACCAATAAAAAACTACCACGTCATTGATGAACCTCATCAAAACTGGGTTCTAAAAATCCTTCCCTAAGAGCTGGTTCATCAAGAAAATAGGTTTTTTGATTTTTTTTAAATCTAAATAATGGATGAACCCAGCCTATGAACCCCTCATGATACACCATTAGAGGTGCTCTTAGCTTTTCATGTTTTTAAGTGTTTTCTTTGACAATGTTCATTGTACTGATAGAGGGAGTATGAGAAGTTAAGCCAGAAAGTGGAAGATGCCACTGGAGATTCCCATTGGTTGGATGCAGACGATGATTTTATAGTTTTCTCAAACACAAAACCAACTGATCATTCAACTATAGTTAAGGTATTTCTACGATTTAGTTACCTCTATTTTCTAAGAGCATGTGCAGTAGTGAACCCCATTATGGGGTTCATCCGATTAAAATAATATATAATTTTTTTTTCGTTTTTGTAATGAACTTAGGTTATGGTTGAGGTTCCAGTAGTGAACCCGTTTATAGGGTTCATCCGCAATATTATATTAATATTTTTTTTTTGGGAATTTGTTTTTATAAATAAAATAAAACATCACTTATTTCAAAAAAGAATACAATATATTGCAAACTATAGAATAATACAATTTAATAAAAAAAAAAATACAAACACCCATTTTTTAAATTATAGAAATACTTAAACATTTGTTATACACATTTAAGAAGTACCAAACTTATTCCAAAGATTTTCGATTAAATCTGCTTTCAATTGTTCATGTATTCGATAGTCACGGATTTCGTTTCGTTTCGCCATCATCAAATTTGAGACATTTGTCGGCCTATTTGTAGAATACGACATATCAACATACGAATTTCTGCTTCCCTCATCTTGTTGGAATTGTTCTATATTGCGAGACTGTAGCTATCACGTTCGTTTTCTACTACCATATTGTGTAATATGATAGAAGTCTGCATAATCTTGCCAATTTTTCCTTTATCCCAAAAAAGAGCTGGATTTTTAATTATTGCAAATCGAGCTTGAAGAACGCCAAAAGCCCGTTCAACATCTTTGCGGACGGATTCTTGAGCTGTTGCAAATAACTTATTTTTTTCTCATTGCGGAAGATGAATTGATTGTATAAAAGTAGCCCACTTCGGATAAATACCGTCGGTTAGATAGTATGGCAAACGGTACTCGTTACCGTTAACCCAATATCTCACTTTTGGGGCTTCACCATGCAATATGTCATCAAAAACGGGAGAACGATCAAGAACGTTAATATCATGTACCTAGAGGTCCAAAAAATGCATGCCATATCCAAAGATTTTGTGATGCTACAGCCTCTAAAACGATAGTCGGCTTTCCTGATCCGCGTGTATATTGTCCTTTCCAGGCTGTTGGGCAATTCTTCCGTTCCCAATGCATGCAATCAATGCTTCCTATCATCCCGGGGAAGCCCCGTTCTTCGCCAAGGTCCAATAAGCGTTGGAGATCATCAGGTGTGGGTCTTCTTAGATACTCATCTCCGAACAAAGATATTATTCCCTCAGTGAAATTTTCCAAACATAACAAGGCCGTACTAGCACCAAGTCGGAGATATTCGTCAACTGCATCAGCTGCTGTGCCATATGCCATCATACGAATGACTGCCGTACATTTTTGTAGAGCGGAGAGACCTAATCTGCCGGTAGCATTTCTTCTTTGTTGAAAATATGGAACTTCATTGGATAGGCGGTAAACAATACGGAGGAACAAATCCTTGTTCATACGAAAACGGCGTCGGAATGTATGTGGAGGATAAGTTGCATCATCACTGAAGTAATCGTTCCATAAGCGGATGTGGCCTTCTTCCCGCTTTCTTTCAATGAATTTTTTTTTTCTTTTGCTTTTTTGTGCAAGCTGATTTAACATAGAATCAAACTTGTCATCAAATTTCTGATCGAACATGTCATCAAATGCATCATCTTCAGCATCATCGACTGAATCTTCATACACATCCTCTAAACGATTGCTTGAAGATGCCATAGTGTTTAGGTGTTAAAATGTTTGTAATGAAAGAGAGAGAGATGTGTAGAATTTGTTGAGAAATTTGGGTAAAAAGTTCAACCGATGCCTTGAAGATTTTGATAATAAAAGAGAGAGAGGGAGATGTATATAATTTGATAATGAAGATTTTTTGCAAACGATTGCTTGAGACTTGTGATAATGAAAAAAGTCTTTGAGAGCATATAAATACAGGAGGAGTGGCAATAATAAGATAGTGGGAAACATAAGGTCTAAATTACAACAGAAAATATGTGGATAGTAGAGAATACAACAAAATCATATGGCCCCTCAAATTTTGTTGCATATGGTCACGGAAGTGTCAGCCATAAACCTGCCCAAAAAAAAACCGTGAAGGTCAGAACAATTATATGAGTAAGTCAGACAAGTAAATGGAACATCAAAACAACACACAACCAATCAAAATAACAAGGTCATAAATAAAGCAATCAAAATAACCCAAAGCAAAACATGGTTCATAACCGATAACAAAACAAAATAAATAAAGCAATCAAAACCATATGGCCAATGACAAAAAACAAAACAAAATGAGTTTTAAATATGGTTGAGGATCTTTAATTTTATGGTTGACTGTCTTATCATTGTGTATTAATGTCCTGAGTGTCTTTTCGAGCAAATTTAGATATCAATTAACACACGAACCCTAAACCCTAAAATGTCATATCAAGCATATATAACCAGTCCTAAAGCTAACATCATAAAGCCATTTACCAACTACATTAAAGACGACCAGGCAAGTTACAAGGGAACTAACCTTTACTCGGTGAGGAATATGCCTTGAACTGAACCATGTCTCCGTGGAGTCCATTAAAAATTACCCTCAAACAAATTAAAAAATACCCATTAGACAACTACATTGATTGAGCCGACCTAAACATCAAACACTAACCAACTACAGTACTTGAGACATTTCTAAACCCTAAACGTATAGGCAACAGCTGCGATCACAGAAAAGAAAAAAAGGATCAGGAAACTATCACCTTGAGTACTAAGCTGCTCCTTCAAACGCATGACTTCTCCCTTAAGCGTTGATATCTCTTCACGGATTTCTCCCTAAATCGTTGATAGCTCTTCACGGATTTGTCCTATGGCTGGATCCAGAACGTTGCTTCTACTCTGATCAACGCTGAGGATCAGGTCCTTCTGCTGCTCTATCCTGCTCGCGGGGATCTCAAACTGTTCGGTGACTCCGTCATCCCACCATTGGTGGATGTGATCAAACGTTTCCTATATTCATGACAAACCGTTAGCAAGAACTTAAACTACACAATACAAACCGAATGATCTTTTAACAAACCAATACAAACTTAATGAATACCTCGTTGACCCATTCCGGGCAGGCATAGTACCTGCGACCAGCTGCGTTTGCTTTTAACTTCACAACCCGCCCGCAGAAGCACTTCTCCGGTATGCCGTATGTGGCATCCGCGTAAGCCCAGTACGGGATTTCCTCAGATGATTCGCTGCTATAGCTTGGCATTATCTGTAACAAAAAAAAAAACGACCACTTTACAATCGATATTGTGGAATAACTAACTAAAAAAGGCAATGTCAAGTGAAAACAATTAACCGAAAGACAGTATAACATGAATTCGTATTCGAAAGCAAGTGAAAACGGTTTACTTTCATTGTATTACACCCCAATTACAACCCCAAATGAAAGCCCCAAAATTTTTCCCTTTTTCATATGAACCCTAATTTCACCGATTTCAATTTCCATTCAAATCTCCCAAAATATTAACTTCAATTCGTTTTCGTGTTTCAATGAGGAAATGACTCGAAATCGACACTAATATCCCAACCTAAACCACCGATTACAGACTTCAAATTTTTCGCCATGAAAACCAAAACCCTAATTTCCCTATATCGAATGAAATCGGGCAAAAGGAAGAGAAGAAACGCTTACCTCGGCAATAATCACGGAAGTCCGATCCTCGGTTGTCCACTACACTGGCAAAAGTCGACGGTTTCGACGGATTTGACGGAGGCGACGAGAATCGCCGTAGGAGAGGAAGAGAGAAAATAAAAAAAACTCGCGAAGGAGAAATGAATTTTTGGGCAAAAAATTTTTCCCTTCCCCAAATTAAATTGACACGAAAATTCCTCCTCTCACGCTTTGCCACGTGTCTGGGATGCGGGTTCATCAACCTTTTCCAGACGGACCGATCCATCGATTTTGGACTTTTTTTTTTTTTTTTTAAATCCATTTCGCCTATGAACTCGAGCCAAATCCGTCCGTCCAACGGGGACCTGGTCTAACTATTGACATACCAAAAACTGTGAAGAAGGGTTGACTATAACAATTATATGATCTCTTGTTATATTATATTACACGTGTATGTGAAGGTTATATGGGAGAACAAGGGAGGTCTGGGAGACGAGAAAGAGGTCCCTCATTTTGTTTATATTTCAAGAGAGAAAAAACCAAATTACCTTCATCATTACAAAGCTGGAGCCATGAACTTTCTGGTTGATTTTTCTCACACATCTCTCTTTATTTTTATTCGTAGATTCAAAGTAAATTCATGATTAATTGTGTTAGAACGGCTAAAGAAATTAAATGCATTTCGTGAAAATACCAGTTTAAAAGGAACTAAACACATGATATATATGAATATAAATTTATACGTCATTTCATGGAAGGTCAAATAGTAATGAAGACAATGATATACTTCTCCTATTGTTAACTACCACTCGATTGTACAATGACACAATGTTCCATGTGCTGTGGCTGCACTTTTTATATTTTGCTGGCTGTGACATTCCACAATAATTTTTGAAAATTTGGAATGAAAGGGTACCATGCATTATGTGTAGCTAATTAAGCAGCATGCATATATGTAAAATAAACAACCATGGTGACGGTGTGATACATTTTTATGTTATTTTGCCCTATTAGTGATCCATAACTTTGAGAATTGAGACATCATATAGTGAGCAACTATTAGTGATTATAGATCATATAGTAATGTGAGCCTATGATAATCTGACCAGGTAAGAGTGTCGGCTTTGATGACAAATGCCCCGTACATGTTGAATGTAGACTGTGACATGTACGCAAATGAAGCAGATGTGGTGCGACAAGCAATGTGTATATTTCTGCAAAAATCTAAGAATACAAAACATTGTGCCTTTGTTCAATTCCCTCAAGATTTCTATGATTCTAACGCTGATGAAATCATCATCTTACAATCAGTGCGGTTCCTTTCTTACTTCTTATTTATAATTTTGACAACTATTCTATATATGTTTTTTTCTTTCCAATCAAATCAATGTTTTTTATTTGTTGAAATGTAGTATTTGGGACGAGGAATTGCGGGAATCCAAGGACCGATATATGAAGGTTCGGGCTGCTTCCATACTAGAAGAGTAATGTATGGTCTTTCTCTAGACGATTTAGAAGATGATGGAAGTATTTCTTCAGTTGTCACAAGTAAGAACCTTGTATATTATTTTTTTTCATATATATCTTCATTGTTTTTTTTTTTCAGAAAATAATCTTGCATACATCCTAACCAGTTTTATATAAAAAAATTCCGTTTTATATATTAATTGAGAACAAATAAAAATACTTTTCATATTCAAGTGATAACACACAATTCATATAAGTCAAATCTTTTATGCTTCATTTGGTATGTTATTAAGAGAAGATATTAGCTGAGAAGAATTTAGCCAAAGAAATTGGAAATTCTAAAGAGATGGTGAAATCGGTGGTGGATGCGTTACAAATGAAATCAAATCCCCAACAAACCCTTACAAACTCTATAGAAGTGGCGAAAGAAGTGGGAAATTGTCACTACGAGCACCAAACTAGTTGGGGAAATACAGTAATTCTCTTAATTTTTGTTTTCATCATTATAATCTAAAAATCAAACAATCATATCTTACACAATAATGAAATCAAACCGTAACTCCGGCATTTGGTCCATAAGAAATACATTTTTGTTATATTCAAATCATGCAGATTGGTTGGTTATACGACTCAATGGCGGATGATGTGAACACAAGCATCGGAATCCATGCGAGAGGATGGACTAGCTCATACATTTCTCTTGATCCACCAGCGTTTCTAGGTGTTATGCCGCCACTAGGACCGGTAGCGATGGTCCAGTGGCGGCGATGGGGGACAGGCATGCTCGAAGTCTTTTTCAACAAACAAAGTCCGATGATCGGAGTATTTCACCAAAAACTAAGATTCCGGCAACGATTGGCTTATATTTCCATTACTATGTGGGGTCTAAGGTCAATCCCTGAGCTTGTTTATTGTCTATTGCCTGCTTATTGCCTCCTCCACAACTCTGCCTTATTCCCTAAGGTAATGAATTTCTCTCAAAATATTTAATGTATATGATCATAGCTTCGTAATGTAGTTCTATTTACTTACATACTGTATATAACTATAAAAAAAAATATATATTTTTCTATGTTGGTTTAGGGACTTTGTTTAGGCATGCCTGGCATGCTTGTGGGGATGCACTGTCTTTACACACTATGGGAATTTATGAGCGTTGGTTTTTCCGTGCAATCGTGGTATGTCTCCCAATCAATTTGGAGAATAAAAGCCACTTCTTGTTGGTTATTTAGCATCTTTGATATCACACTCAAACTTCTTGGAATCTCGAAAATCGTGCTTATAATTACCAAAAAGACTCGGTCCGAGGCTAGGTTAGGGTCAGGAGAGGGACTGTCTCAACGAGAGGATGATGGTCTAAACCCACACTCGGATAAATTTGAAATTGATGGCTCACTTTATTTCTTGCCTGGCACATTTATTGTTTTAGTAAATCTAGCCGCTATTGCAAGTTATTCGGTGGGTCTACAAAAGTTGAGTTGCCATAGGCACAAAGGAGGTGGATCGGGTTTGGCTGAGGCTTGTGCATGTGTTTTGGTGGTTATGTTATTCTTCCCATTTCTGAAAGCTTTGTTTGAGAAGGGTAAATATAGAATCCCATTGTCTACACTTTCTGAAGCTGTCTTTTTAGCAGTTTTGTTTGTTATTTTCTCTGTGGGAAGTTAGTAGTGTGTTATGAATTTGTTGTACAACTACGCCATTTTTATTATGACATTGTCTCAATTGATAATGCTACTTTTTTTTGTCTTAATTCAATTGATAAGGCTATCTGTGCAATTAGTTTTTTTTTGGTTAAGATTATTTATATTTTATAAAGTTTTAATAAAATGTTTTCCCAATCTAACTAATGTGAAATAATTTTTAGAAGTTGAATTACAAAGAAAGTTGACAAAGATCAATGTAGAACATATATGGCAAGCTATTAAATTAATTTGTGAAATTAGGAATTATAGGACACAGCGCAAAAAATATAAGACCTCTTTAAACGATATTTAATACTATATAAGATTTTGTTTCTTTTGTTTTGTATTTTTTAAACTACCAAAATTATTTAATAAAGAACATAAAGAAGAAGAAAAAAAGTCATGCTCTGTTTATATCATTTTATTTTATCAAATAGAGTACTAAAATATGTTATTTGTTCTTCATTCGAATTAAGTATGATTAACTAAAATTTCACTTCAAGACAAAATTTAAAGGTCGATACTACATATGTTCATTTCCCCGTCAGCTTCATCACTTTCAGATGGCTAAAAGAGTATTATCCGGGTGGCTAAAGACTGCAATGTACAATTTGGAACAAAGGTTTCAGACATTGGTCTGGTCTGAATCGGCTTCTTAGTTACCTGATGTACGCATGAAAGGTTTCAGACATTGGTCTGGTTATTGTTTTTTATATATTGTAGATAATATTTAAGATTTATAGAAAACTTATTTTATTGACCTAAACACTGTATATAAATATTATTGTAACTAAAGACTTAGTACCTAATTGATTTATTACTTAGTACCTAATTGTTTTTTTTAAAACATTTACATTTTTAATATAGTAAAACCGTTTCTCATAATAGATTTAAATTTATATAATATATGAATAATAAATAAATAGATAATTTATATTAACTTGTTATAAGAAATACCAATAAATAGATAATTTATATTCAAAGCCACAATATTACCAGATAAACTGTCAAACCATAAGTATGAAATTTAAATTGAGAATTTTTAACTCACTGTAACATATTTCTCAATAGACTTTTTTACACATGTCTGTAGATAAGATAAGTTAAGTTTTTTTTTTCTGGTCAGAATGGATATTGAGATTTGTTTATGATAGTTATAATAAAAATTCATTCATTAATTCAAATCCAACAAAAACAAACACATAATTTGTTTTTTCCATAGAAACTTTCCTTGGAAGTATTATTATTTATGTATTTTGGCAATTATTATTTAGTTTTATTGTTAAGACTTAACCAAAAAAGTCTTCTAAAGGGTATTTTGGTAAATTATATTTTTGAAGTCATGCGTGCTACTAAATCTCTTTATATAAGTTTTTTTCACACTCAACAACAACCACAACACTCAAGAGCAGAATTAACTCATAGAGAAAAAAAAATATCGGCGAGATAACTTTCTTCTCGCCAGAAAATGGTGAATCTACCAGATTCTCTGTATGAGGACTATAGTAAATACAAATTGACATGGCCCTCTGCTTCAACCTCTGCTCCGACCACTACAAACTACAGTACGAGGACTACCGTTGTGTCTCTGCCAAACATACAGACGATTCTCCAGTGGGTCAATGATCTTCACAGTGACATCCTAATCATCTCTGATCTTGCGCTGCAGAATCTCTCCATTGTAAGCGCAGTAACATTTATTTCCCTCTTTTTCACTATTTATGATACAGTTTGTAGTGTATTTAATTTATCTGTTGCATCTCTATTTAATGGCATTGATTGACCATGCTTTCGAGTTTTTGAAACCGATGAACTGATTAATTTCCGATAAAAACTGTTTTTATTTCCGATTGATGGAGATCTTGAGATCTCATTTGTTTTTTGCTGCCTAAGGTTAACGAATCTAGGAAAAAATTTATCCAAAAGAAAAAAAAGGTTAATGAATCTATCCTAACTTTTTTTTTCTTTTTAATGCGATCATAAGGAGAAGGAAAATGATTTAAAAAATGATATCTTCCCAATCTTAAACTCTTATTTTTGCCTCTAGATTTGGCTGCTTGAGATGGTATCTTCTTGTTTGTTTGTCAAATTTGGCCTTTTTCTGATCATGAACCTATAAGAAGCATTCAGTTGTCATTCTCTCTTTTGTTTGTATCTATTCGAGTTTATCGTTATATCAGTTTTTTTGTGATTTTTTCCTTAATCTTTAGGAGATCTAGTAATCTTTATTGTCATACGAAAATTTCAATTGTTATTCCTCTTTTGCTTGTACCCATTTGAAGATTACCAGCATTATATTATTGGATCAGCTTTCAAAATTTCATTAGGTTTGAGAGTTCTCGCGATTAATCTTATCATGAGAAACATTCAATTGTTATTCTCCTTCATCTGACCATTATCAGCATTATCTTGTTGGATTGGTTTTTGCAGTTTTAGGTTTAGGAGATCTCACAGTTTTTCTTATCATATATCACAAATTCCTTTTTGTTTTTCATGATAGGATAAACTGAGATCTTGTTTTTCTGCTTATCCTTTCGTTATCTTTGTATTTCCTTATTACGAAAGATAACAATGTGTGTGGTCAATAATATGCAATAATTAACAATATATGTGATCAAAAATACACGATAAATAACAATATGTGTGACAAAAATACGTGATAAATAACAGCGTGTGTGGTCAAAAATACGTGATAAATAATAATGTGTGTGGTCAACTATACCTCATCTAGTTATTAATTTTAATTAGTTTTTTTTTTTTGGATTGCAACTTGTTATGCATTCTAAATTTCTCTAATATCAATGCTATGCATATATTTTTTCAAATACGCGATAGCGAAAAATTATAGCCAAACATATCTATGGCCCCAATGCAAGTATAAAAATTTATCTCAGTAAGACTCATATATGGAAAAAAAAAACAATTCATAATTTGGAAAAAACAAAATTCCGTAATTTGGTGATTTTTTCAATTTTATCAATTTTCTAGAACTTTAGTTTAGTATTTCTTTAGATTTTTTTTTGAACAACAAAAGATATTATAACTTAACCGGAAGTAGCATGGCCAGAGTACAATGCGTTTTTAGCTAAGCGATCAGCAACATCATTAAAACGTCTAGGAATAAATTTAAAGGAGATAGAGTCAAACATCTTTAAGAGGTAAGAGATATCCTCAAGGATTCCATGTAGCTCCGAAAGGGGCGATTTGGAATTGATGGACCTGATTAGGAGTAGGGAATCAGATTCAACTGAGAGATTCCTTATGTCTTCTGAAGCAGCGAGAGAGATAGCTGTGCGCATCGCCATCCCTTCTGCTATTAATGGGGATGGGACACAGTCAGTTCATAGAGAAAAGGATCGGACCGAGCCAGTTGCAGGGGAAGATAGGGTCCAGCCGAAGCCAGCCATTTCCTTGATCTTGCACCAGGCTGCATCGGTTTGACACTTTACTCCGAGCGGTTGCATAATGCAGGGTTGTGACACCATAGGATGAGGATCCTTGGGTTTATTCACTTGAGCAGAGCACCATTCCAAGGCATCCGAGATTGCCTTGTTCAGGACGTCCATTTCTGAAAAAGATTTGGTATTGAAGACCAGATTATTCCGCGCTTTCCAAATGTTCCAGCAAAGCCAAGGTGCCAGGACACCTTTCGGGAGATCAGTAGAAGGGATGCATTCAGAGTCTTTCACCGATTTCCATAGATTAGCAAAGTGCTGAAAACCCTCATTGTCCGGTCTTGACGTTAGCGGAGCTCTCTGCCAGATGGTTTTAGCAAACTCACAGAGGAAGAGGAGATGTTCAGGCGTTTCCTTGAGGCCACATCTACATCACAGAGGGTTAGCATCAGGAATGCGAGTAGCTAAATTAGCCCCAACAGGAAGAGCTCCTCTCGCAGAGCGCCACAGGAAAGTTTTAACTTTAGGAGCAGTCAGGAGAGACCATATATCCGGTATCCAGTCGACCTGGTTGCTACAAGGAGGGTGTGGAAACTCCTCGAGAGCAGCAAAATAGCCAGATTTGGTGGAGTAAACCCCGGATTTCTCCTTCAACCAGATCCTCTTATCATTAGCTTCGAACATGCTCGTCTTAATGGATAAGACAATCTTGACCACATGGGGGATGGTATCCAGGACTTTCAAGGTATTCCAGGTTAAGGTGGTCGGGTCCAAGAGGTCAGAGATACAGAGATTCTCATTGTCCTCAAGGCACGGTCCTCCTGGAGCTAGAGGGGAGGAGGTGGAGAGCCAGTTGTCATTCCACACATTAATACTCTTGCCGTTTCCCACGGCCCAACCAAGATTCTTCTTCAAGAGGTCTCTACCGATGAGCATGCTTCTCCATCCATGTGACGCCGATGAAGGGCACACGGCTTCAAGAAAGGAAGAGCCCCTGCAATATTTTCCGATCAAAACACGGGCCAGAAGGCTTTCAGGGTTCTGGAGAATCCGCCAACTCTGTTTGGCGAGGATAGCATCGTTGAAACAGGCGATGTCCCTAAAGCCTAATCCACCATTCCTTTTGCTTTGGGTGAGTTTATCCCAGGATACCCAACATAACTTCCTCTTATCCAGAGTATCATCCCACCAAAACCGGGTAATGGCGGATTGAATCCTCTTGCACAGCGATCCAGGGAGCTTAAAACAGCTCATTGCATACGATGGCATCGAGGACAACACACTTTTGAGGAGAATCAATTTGCCCGCACTAGAAAGGAACCTGGATGACCAACCAATAGCCTTCTGTCGAATCTTATCTACGATGCTCGTAAATAAATCTTTCTTGCGGCGGCCAAAATGTTCGGGGAGCCCCAAATATTTCCCAACTCCTCCATCTTTGTGGATATTTAACGCATTCATTACCCGGGAGCGAATATCAGCAGGAGTTTTCCTGGAAAAACTAATAGAAGATTTGTTGAGATTTATGGATTGACCAGAAGCTTTCTCGTACTTCTTCAGAATATTAGATAGAGCAGCTGTGTTGTCAACACTGGTGTTGCAGAAAAACACCGTATCATCAGCAAACAGAAGGTGATTAAGGCGGGGTGAATGTCGAGATGCCCGAATACCTCTCAGCGAGCCATCAGATTGAGCTTTCCGACACAGACCAGACAAAACTTCACTACACAAGATAAATAGGTATGGAGACAAGGGATCACCCTGTCGGATACCTCGAGATGGTTTGACAGAGCCACTAGGTCCATCGTTCAGGAGGAAAGAGTAAGTTACCGTACTGACGCAGCACATAATCCAGCCAATCCAACGCTGGTGGAAGCCAAATCGAGAGAGGATCAGCCTGATGAAGTCCCACTCGAGGCGATCGTAAGCCTTAGACATGTCCGTCTTCACGACCATGGAGCAAAACTTCTTGGCAGTAGATGTTTTGAGGAAGTGCAGCATCTCGTGAGTTATCAGGACATTGTCCGTAATTGCTCGGCCAGCGACGAAGGCCGATTGGAGTATTTCTTTAGATATGCCTGATTTTACTATGTTTTTTTTGTGAGAACTATTTTATTCAAAACTTTAATTTATGATTTGGAAATGTTAAAAACATAATTATATGAAGGTGAGGACTATTTATAACATTTTTGGAACGTTGGAAACTTATATTATCACTGTCTGTCTTTTCTCCCATTGCAGCATAGGAACAATTTTGAGATCTTGCCGCTCCTGTTATGGAATACTCCTTTTACAATAGCCAAGATGTTGCAGGTTCAGTACCGACTACTTTTGTTTCGAAGATGACTAATGCTGATATGTTTTGGCTTTTTGAACCAATTAGAGTGACTACATTTTTCTAGATCAAAACCATATTTTGTCGTAAATTTATAATCTCTTTGTGATACTCACTTTGAGTTTCATTCAATCTCCGCAGGAGGTCGTGAAAATCTACCGACTTCCAATTTTCTCTCAGCCGGGGATGCCAAGTCGAGTGTACAACATTTTGCTTTTGTTCCAGGTTTTATTTGATCTCACACTTTACTTCTTTCTTTATTTAAAGAACCATTCCTTTGATAACGGCTTAAGCCTTAATTGGCTCTTTAATGTTGTCATCGTTTTTCCTGTTCACAGTGCATAGCTCATCACCCAGAGACAAGAGGGCAGTTCCTCAAGGGTATTTCTCTTTCTCCAGAGACAAAAATGTTTTTTAAATAAATTTACATAATTTCTACATCATGTAGAAAAAAGCATTTTATAGTAAAAAAAAAAAAAACACTGTATATCATGTTACATTGTCTTTGAATTTTCCATATCTTATGTTGGTTGTTGCAGCTGGTATGCCACACTATTTCTATCCTTTGATGGAAATCAGTTACACCGATAAGCCTCTCGAATGCGTTAGGCTTGGTGCATTGGGTGTCATTGCTCATATGTTGAAGGCGGTACACACATATTCTCTAATGCATACTCTTTTACAACATATATCAACAAAACCTTTTAAAATTTCCCATAAAAAATTTGATTTCAAAATCTCACTTCTCTTACAGCCTGGAAACGGAGCTGCTATTCGTTTCCTTATGGACACAGGTGCTATACGTTATTGCACTAAACCCGTCGAGATCGGCTCTACAGAATCCAAAACAGTAAGTTTCTTTACTCATTTTGACTTTAAAACAAGAGCAAGAAAGAAAGCATTGATCGAACTAATTAATACTTCTTCAGATTGCTGTCTTCATTATTAACAAGATTATGTCGACTGATGAGGGGCTTCAGTACTGTTGCGTCTTGGCTGATCGGTTTTTCGTCATTGATGGTCTCCTTAAGAAGCTGCTTGTTTATCTTTCCTCCATGGCCAAACCTTCTCCAAGCTTGTTCAATCTTGTTGCTTCTTGCTACTTCAAGCTCTCTCAGAAAGCCAGGTCTTTCTACTACACCTTTCTTGAATCTTTTCGGATTTTTATTTGTATAGCAAACTAACAGCTTGATATTTCTGGTATGCATTAGGGCTCGTGATGGCATAAGGCGATGCCTTCCTGTCATGCTGATAGACGGGACTTTCGCCAGTTTACTTTCTGTAAGATTAAAATCTTCCATCAATGTTTGAGTTCAAGTATGGTTTATGCAATAATAGTCAAGATTCAGAGTGTTTTTTGCTTTGTTATTTTTTGGCAGGAGGATCCAGTCGCTGATAACTATCGGAAGCAGCTGATTGAGAATCTCAAAAACAAAGCAATGAAGTAGCTCCAAACACAGTTTTTTAAAGGAAGAATGAAAAACAGAACGAAACACAGCCACAAATTACTACGGCGTTACGCTAAGTAATAACTAATAAGATAGAAACAAAACAATTTATGACAGTATGTTGCTGTTTGGTTTAATTTCTTTTGAGATGACTCTTGTTAATACTCTTTCAATCATTGTTCTCTCCCTCTCTCTCTTTTGGAATACATTTGAACCCATTTTCTATCTTCTTTCATTTCACCTTTCAAGTTATTTTTTTTGTTTTTCTTTCTCCAGAGGAAGAAAGGATTTGCTTAATTTGCAACTTGATGATTGATATTACTCATATGATTATTATCATTACTTTCACCTGCAGGAACCAAAAGAAAAAAAAAAAAAAGGATCTGCTTCATGTTCTTTTTTAGGCTGCTACACTTTTTTTTTCTTTTCTTCCTTTAGTCAAAAAGCAGTTTACACACACACACACATTGAAACATTTGTATTAAACACCACCGACAAAATTTAAGTGCGATTCATAGTCAATTAGAGTCTGGAATCCAATTACTTTCCACTGCAAGAGCTAAATTCGAGCAAAACCCAGCTCAAATTTCGAATCTTTGTGAAGAACCCAGATCTTGTATGGCGAAGCACACGGCGGCGCTAAAAGTCGGGCTGGCTTTGCTGGCGCTAAGCATGATTGGCTACATAGTTGGTCCACCGCTCTACTGGCACCTCACCGAAGCCTTGGTCGCTTCCACCTCTTCTTGCTCTCCTTGCGTCTGCGACTGCTCTTCCTTGCCTACTCTCACCATCCCCAAAGGTAAACAAAGACTCAAGCTTTTTGTTTTTGTGTTGCCCACTTGATTGGATCTTGCTAGATCGGATGTAAAGTTTACTGATTTCGCTGAGAAAAGGTGGAATCTTTTACTTTATCTTGGTATTGTTGAAAATTGGAAGTTAGGATCAGTAATAGTTGGTCTGAGCTACAAGATCGCATGCTTCAGCTTGAATTAGAAATTGAGTTTAAAGATAGACTTTAGTGCTACTCTGTGTTCACTTGTGCAGATCTACAAGAATTGTGTCTCATGAGATTATTTGGTTTGATAAGTAAGCACTTATGAGTTTAGGCTATAGTTTGGTATCATAGAGATTTGAAGTTTGCAGGCTACTGTTCGTGATATCTGACTTGTGGTGTGGTTGTATCATTGCTTATTGGCTATCTACAGAGTTCTCAATTAACCATTTCTACTTCTCTAGACATGACATTCAAACTTTCTCTTTGAATGATGCAAAGAAAAACGCCTAATCCTTTTTACTTGTTTTATTTTGCTGCAGGACTCAGCAATGGATCTTTCGCGGGTGAGTTTCCAGTCACTTTTCTGTAATAATCCTTAGCACTAGATGGTTCCTGTCAGTCTCGGAAGAATATTATCTTGACTATGTTTTTGGTAAACGGTCTGTTAAGAACATCTTGTCGATACGCAGATTGTGCAAAGCATGATCCAGATGTGAACGAAGACACAGAGAAGAACTACGCCGAACTCTTAACGGAGGAACTGAAGCAACGTGAAGCAAAATCGATGGAGAAACACAAACGAGAAGACACGGCTCTGCTAGAGGCCAAGAAGATAGCGTCATCTTTCCTAAAGGAGGCAGATAAGTGTAACTCAGGTATGGAAACTTGTGAAGAAGCAAGAGAGAAGTCTGAAAAAGCACTTACAGAGCAGAAGAAGATGACTTCTATGTGGGAACTGAGAGCTCGTCAGAAAGGATGGAGAGATGGAGCCACCAAGTCAACTGTTAAATCCAAAAGCAGTGTTCAGGCTTCTTAGAGACACCACCTAAGATTTTGTTTCCTTATCACACGAAAGAGCATTTCAGTATAACTGTGAATTTGATTTATACTACTATTGTCTTTTACTTTTCTGATGGAGATCATTGTACCAAAACAACAAAGGATTAATAAATTTTGAACAAGTTATTACAAATCAAGTCAGTACATTGAACTACTACATAAAACTTATTAGGCGTAGCAACATGAAACACTTGGTTTCCCTTCTTGGTCTCTCTTCACTTTCCTTCAGGCAAGGTGTATTGTTAGATCGTCCAGTTCTTGAGAGCCAATGAGGCTGAGATTGTGCTCGTTCGCCAAATGCAGCAAGCAGATGAAACATAGATGTGGTGAGATGTCTTTGGTTGCCGCAGCTGCTTGGCAATCATCTGGAAAGCTAGCCAATAGCTCTTTGAAAGATCTACTTCCATGTGGTTCTTGTTGGTGTTCCTCATCCTGCCACAGTCAGAAAATATCAATATCATCACAGAAATGGGGAGAAAAAACGAGGAAGGTGATGCTATTCTCGAGCATGCTGAGTTTGTTTAGAGCATGGAACTATAAAAGCCGAAAAGGTACACTAAACAGTATGCATGTGTGCGGATTCTAGATCATATGTTGACAAAACATGGCTGATATGAGCTACAAGCATGTCTCACAGAGATCATAAGAGAGCTTCTCAGAGTAGTTGTAGGACAATAGAAACAGAAAGTAGGAGCTAAGTTTCTATTAGTTAAACCTGAATTGGTGGTTGAGGAGATTCCTGAAGACAATCCCAAAGAGTTTCCTTTAGCACTTGAACATCAACTTGTTTTGAAGCTTTATCATATTGCACGTCAATTTTGTTGACCTAAAGCATCATTTGTGTAGGAAAATTACAACAATGTTTCATTGCTGACCACAGATAGCTACAGCCTTGTGAAATGATTCGTAACACCATTACCATATGCACATCAAGATTCATACCTGGCGCGGCTGAGAAATCAATGAGTTGGTATCCTCCGCATCACTTTGATCATTTCCATTATCAAATGGGGCGTCATCATACACATTATCATTTTCCCAGGATTCCGCATGTTCATAATCATCATACTGTTGCCTTGTAGTTTCACCTGGAATTATGCAAATAACAAAACAGTGGAAGATAAATAGTTTTTCACAATCGCAAAACAAATTTCACCAAAATTTGCTGAAGCCACCTTCCTTCGTAAAAGAAAATCTTATAAAGGTCAATATAACAAAGACGCTGGTATGTCCCACAGAAACTCCAAAAGGACACCAAGAGTGATGATTATCTTAATGACTGGATTTGTTACCTGAGCATTTTCTTCTCCTCCTCCCAATGCACTGTTACCGTTCAGAAGAGTTACTTCAGACACATAATGAAGAAAAAGAAAAAAAACTAGCAAATAGTGACTGGGTAAGTGTTAAGCAAGCCATACCATAACATTCGGTAGTAGAAATAGCTTTACTAGATTCTCAGGTTGATAATGGCAATCCTCTGGAAGCTTTGTTTGACAAGGGGCTCTACTTGCTGGGAGAAGTAAAGACTTTGGGTTTTTTGGAGGGGCAAAAATATCAGGTATTTCCACCTCCAAAGCTTTTGTAAAATCTACTTCAGGCTCTGCTTGCTTTTTTTTCCTGGTTTTCTTTGCAGGTGGAGAAGATCCGTTTTCTGAAGCAGGGTGGTCATCTGGACCTGCAAAATAGTCCAGAGAATGTAAACCCTAAGACAAAGTAGATAACTAAGAGGACTTCTGTTATCGCTTGAAACTGGAGATATAAAGTGCATACCTTTTGTTTTTCGATACTTCCAGTGATCAGGACCTGCCCAAGAATTCTGCTTAGATGAAATTCCCAACGACAAAAAAAGATAGTCATCAATATTCTCAAATCTATCATCTGAATCCAGGTCTTGCAGTGAGGCTGGTTCAACTTCCTGCAAAGTAAAAACAGCAGCATTAGGTTTTCGCGGTAGCAATGAAAATAAACAAGTGAACTCTAGAAGGGTGATGGTAAGAACCTCGAGAAAACTTGAATATGCTGGCTCTGCATCATTGAGGCCAAAGTTTTCCTCAGCAGCACCAGATTGACCCTCATCATCAAAAGAAGGTCCAAAGTTATCATATCCTTCATCGTCATCGGCATAGCTAGCTTCATTACCATGTGATATATCAAATGACTCAGCCGTCTTCTGACCACAAGAAAACGTATCAGCTGGTCTTTGATTCTCTTCATCAAATTGATTGATTATAGTCCGAAGAGATGGTACAATCTCATCCTTCTGTCGCATATTTAGGACCATTTGCTCCACAAATTCTACAAAATAAACCACGACATCAGATGAAAATTAGTGCAATAAAAACCAGTACAATGGTACAGTGAGGCATATCAGTTAATAAAGCCAGACCTTTAGCAAAGGATAGATCAATTGTTTCTGATTTATCATGCTGATTTACAGACGAAACAAGCTTTCCAGGGATCTCTTGTGAATCAAATAGAACTTGACACCCTCCATAGACTCCTAAGTTGTTTAGCAGCAGACCCTTTGCTCCACCTTCATCAAACTGTGCTGAAGTCTGATGATAAAGGGGATCCACTGCAAATGCCACTGTAAAAAAAAAAAAAAAAACACGAAATATCATCGTGCAGAACTTACATTTCACAAACAACAAGGGAGTCAAGCTAAGAAATTACCGTCGAACTTCTTCACGTTAAGGGAATCAAAGGATGGTTCCAGTGTTGATAAAGGCGATAACTGCAAGTTTAAAACTCATTAGTAAGTAATGTCATCTACTATATCCAAAATTGGGATTTCTATATGAAGTACCTTTTTCTCTGCCTGTTTCTTTTGGTTAGTTGCATTTACTACAGAACCAGCGGCATCTTCGTTATCTAGGTTCATGAAGAAACATCAGAAAATAACCCAAGATAAAAATTTACTTACAGTGCCTTCTTCAGAAATTTGAGCTAAAGAAAAATTGTAGTTATTCAGAGGTTCCCTTTTTTAACGATCTTCAGTTATTTTAAATTCTCATATAGAAGTCAAACAGTAAGATACATATTCGACTGTGTAGCTCATGAATCTCAAGATTAGTTTAGCAAACCCAGTTAACCAAAATAAGTGAATAAACATCACCACAAACTAACAAAGCTAAATGATTTGTTAAAAAAAGCTTACACTGGCAGATTTAAAGCAAGTGCTAAAGATAAGATAGGTTTTTATGTGAAAGATTTCAAACTAACCTCCGCTGTCATCTTGACCAGCTCGAGTAATTCCACCCAAGACCTTGTATGCTTCTGAATGAACTGAGTCTACCCTCAATGAGTAAATCTTAACTCCAGCTTCAAGAGTGCAACTTGCCTGCCTTGGACGAACACAAATATTTCTTTAACACGATTCCGAACTCTAAGTTTTTTTTAGTGTGTGGGTATTCTTAAAAGTCTAACCAGCGTTTTAAAAAATCCAAAGAAGAATGAAATGGGAAGCTTACCTTTTGAAAATTAGTTTCTGAAGTATTCTCATCTTCCACTTTAATTATCTCACAAAGATGGTCGATCAAATTCAACTCCCAAGTGTTCTTTTGGTTGATTTTCTGTTCAACACAAAACCCACAGAACATAATGAAAAACCTCCATCAGTCCAAACAGAGATTATACTGAGTGAAAGACGACATATTAACCCAATACCAAATTCTAAGAGAAGAAACTTTTAGCACGAATTTTCCACTTCATATGAGTATGGAAAAAGACAGAAGTCGATTACTTACGTTTTCGCTGGCCAATTTGATACAGTTCTGAAACAACTCGAGAATCTGCTGTTTGTCAAAGCAAGGATCGGATTCCTTCTCAGGCTGAGGCCCACGAGCGAAAACGATGGACTTACGACGGCTAGCGGCGACTCTGGCAGCGCGAGCTTGTTCCCGTTCCAACCTGTCATCGTTGGATCCCAAGAAAAATGGACTTGTCGGAGCCTGGATTCGAGTCGTCGTCGAAATTGGCCTTTGCTTAGGGTTTGGAGTTAAGGCTTCCTCCATGGCTAGAGAAACAAAAAAAAAAAGCTTGTATGTGAGAAAAAGTATGCTGGACGAGAGATCGTACGGTTGTTGCCCTTAGAAGAACAGAGACGACGAAAATCCGTCCGTTGGGTTCAACGGAGCTTTGTGGATCGAGAGAATTTGGGATTTAGGGATTTCGATTTTCCCTCCGCTTCGCTGTTTTGAATTTCAGTGATGCTTTTCAAATGTGTATGTACATAATTACCCCCCATTATTATAGAGATAGTGCGTACCACATTCGACGTCATTGCTCTTTTTTGCTTTTACGTCATCAGGAGCCAGAAACAAATTACATATCCCAGGTCCGGTCTAAGGATTGATAGATTCAGTTAAAAATTGGTTATGAGTTAACCGACATGTCAACTGAAATTTATCCAGTACAAAACAAAATTGACAATTCATTTTAAAAACAGAGAATCAAAACGTGTCAAGAGAGTTAATACATCGCTTTAAGAATCCATTGTCAAGACTCAAAATAGATTGATTTTCCTCGGTCAAAGAGCACACACTTTCTCTCAAGATAAACCATGTAAGAGTAACTGTTTATAGTTGATTCTAACATTGCTAGTTTCACTTTCACATGTTCGGATGTCCGAAACCTCCAGCTGGTGGGGGAGGTGGTGGGATAGGCCTAACACCATTAGCCATTGGAGGTGGTGGCGGCGGCAGTGAGCTAGATGGAGGAGGTGGTGGCGGTTGAGCTTGAGGCGGTGGTGGTGGTGGCGGCGGCAGAAGGCCATTTGCTCCAACATTAGACTGAGGCTTGATTGGTTCTGGCTTGTTCGGCTTGAAATACACCTGCAACTGTTTATCACAAGTTTCTTTATCATTTTTTGATCAATCAATTACAGAGAAACAACAAAACTATGGGGTTGTGATGAAGAGCACTTACAGTAAACATCTTTGAGTCTGGATCCCAGTGATTGAAAAACTTTGGGGTTGATTTGTCAATCTCTGTGCTAGGAACCTGAAACCGATCAAAAACATGACCATCAATATCAGCACACAATCTCCAGTAAAATATGATAAGATACTAAAGCCAAAGGTCTGTAATGAATGTAAATCTGTCTTCAAACAAATCAAGAATTGCGGAGTGAAATGAATAAAGAAAAGAAGCATACCTTGAAGGCTATGATTTCATATGGCTCAGCTGCAAACAGAAGGTACTGATATCTCTTGTCATAAGGTTCAACTTTCTGCACACAACAAAAAAAGGCAGAAAATTATTCAGAATGCAAATTTGGTGAAGAAAAAAAAGTATGTTTACTAGACGCATGAAATTAAGGACTTGTAACACTCACCTGCTCATATGAAGACATCACACGATGTTTTGGCTTGATGTTGTCCTCTATTTCAGGATATTCAATCTTTAAAAAAAAACACACACAAAAAAAAGAAACATTGAGAATTCACTCTAGACAAGTCTCTAATGATGCTAGATTAAGCTCAGTAATAACAATTCACATGCTTACCTGGAACAAGAGAGACCTTTGCTTCAACTCGGGATCGTACTGCTTTGTAACCCGGTACCCTGGTCTACCAATTTTAACTGCAAGAACATACAAAAGACGGAGAACTGATTAACCAAGCCTCTAAAGCAGATAGTAAACAATGGAGAAATAATAATCAACCAAACCTTCAAAGCTGAATATTAAGCAAAGACATAGAATCCTGCAATTACATAGTCCTCCATAAGAGATAATAACTTATATAGACCAATCACTTTCTCATCTTATCCAATAACTAAGGTCAACACGTAAAACAGCTAATTACCTGATTTGCGAACTGTGACAGTGCGCTTGAGTGGCTGTGGCTTAGTAGGAGCATCCTTGGCCTCTCGTGCACCTCTCTTTGCCAAGTTTGTCTGATGCCTCTTACCTTGAGTATGCGCCAAGTAGTTTCCTTCGTTGTTATGCAGCGTTAGACACAGTTTGCACTCATAGCTTCACAACACAAAACAAGAATTAATCAGTGACAAACCCTAATTGGAGAAACACTAATCAAATCAACTCCAGAGCTATCATGAAAACATAAGTCATACAAGATCAGCCACAAATCTGATAAAGAAACATACCTTCCAAGATGATTTCGCATGAAATAGGGATCCTTGGCAAGGTCTATTGTTTCAAGAGCAAGACGACGGAGACGCTCACGGCGATCGATGGCCTCGTTCTGGCCCGAGGCGGCGCCTCCGCTCCCTGGCTTCGAGCCCCATTCTCTATCCATAGCTTATAAATCGATCTCCTTGCACGCTACAAAATCCCCTCGCTCTCTCTGTCTCTCTTGGCTCTTTCACTGTCGATTACTGAATGAATCCTCGAAGAACTGGGAATGGCGGATGGAGATTTGGTTATATGGAGATTTGGCTGGGCGGTTCATGAGAGACCCGAGTGAATGTTAAGCAATTTAAGGCCCAATATCTCGGCCCATTACTGCTTTTGACTCTTTTTCCTGAAGAATGAAGATAAAGATATTATATCTCAAAAATAAAATAAAAAACATATTATATATATATATAGATATATTTCCTGTCTATAAGCTTTTATAATTAACTTTTAGCGTCACGATCATGAATTACAAGAGGGTTTAGAAAGCTTGGACAACTAAACCATTACGTATAATCCACCACATACCTGATTATCCATCTTCTTGTTTTGGTCTTCGCCATTGATTCCATTGTATAAATCTTTTGAGGATTTATGTGTCTAGTTTAGTGTGATGCGCCTAGTTTCCAATTTTGATTATCAAATATATTTAATGTTAAATCAAAGATTTTGTTTTCTTACGGACATTCATTACTTCTTTTAAAAAGCTAAGTAGGAAATAATATGTCTTACAAGTAACAAGTAACTTTACCTTTCATGATTCATTTTCCTCTTGAAATATTCACACAACAAAAAATGCAGCTATTCAAATTGTTTCATCATTTTGCATATGCAGAATTCTTCTTCTTCTTCTTCTATGGTATGGATTTCACTATGGAAGAACCTCCTCTTAAGAAGAAAAAGGTCTAGAGGAGGAATCTCTTCATCTACTATATGGATTTTTTTGGTTCGTAATCATAACATTTATTTTAGTCTGCACTGTGGTCCTTGAAGCAGCCATGATTTCATCCCTCCACAAAACTATTATTGTATAGCAATTCAAGCATATAAATTAGGTTCAACCGGTGGATATTATATACAGTATTAAACAACACCAAATAAATGTGCGTATGATATTTGAAATTTTATTACATAGAAGTAAAAGAAATTTAAAACATGCACATAATGGCGTATAGCCGTAAATTGTGTAGACAGAAATTTGGGATAAAAAACCTTGTGTAGATCAAAATATGAAGTTGTTAGGAGGTGACTTTATGAAGTGGACCATCCATGTTCGCACATGAATATATAAATAAATAAATAATGCAACAACCATATGGAAGTTTGTGCATCAATTAAATTCTCATAATCGCTCGCAACCATCTGTTTTCAAAGAGGTTTCTTCTTCACTTCATTGTTTTTTGGTTTACTATTCTAATTCCTCACCTTCCTTAAGAGAAACAAGAACCAAAAAGAAAAAAACTAAACAAACAAACAAACAAAAAGAAAATGATTCGGTTTCGACTTCTTTGTCTCTTTGTACTTCTCTTCACTCTCGTTTCTATTTTCCCTAAAGCTCCAAGAATTCATATTGAAGGAAGACGGAGCTTTTCCTCCGGACCTTCTGGAAGAGACAGAGGGTTTTTCCACTCTTATGCCACACGTGTAATCGGCGCCGGAGAATTCAAGCTGGAGAAGAGAAAGATTCCGACGGGGTCAAATCCTTTACATAACAAGCGATAAAAAATGGTTTCTTTTTCGTCGCCGGCAACATGTAATTAATTAGTTTCTTTTTATCTTGTTTTCCCTTTTTTATATCCCTCTCCTTGTTGTTAAACAGAATATATGCGAAATGAATGTATAAATACTCGATCCTATATAACTTAGTGTTGATGTAGAAGTTTTCGAATGAGGTTAAGTATGTATACTTTCAACAATCCAGATCGATTAAATTTGATCATATGTATGTTAGGTGTGTAACTTGTGTGCCCCAAATAAATGTATATCTACATATATGGTTGCTTATATGGTTAATAACAGATTATACAATACTATAGTTGATTAGTCTAGCATTTGTTTAATCTAAGTGCAGACGAGAGATAGAAGATTTATAGTAGAGTAGTGAGTTCACAGGCTATATCGCCTCCAATTGGAAGCTCTTAGAAGAGTTTTTAAATTTTAGAGGATTAAAAATAAATTAAAAAATAATTAAAAAATAAGAATCAATCTTTAGACCAAGTCCAACGCAAGATTGGAAGGGGTTCAAAGCAGGGATTCAAAACATTATTTGGACTTATTTTAATCAGATAAGCTCACTTTTTGCTTGAACCGGTTCTAATATTAAAGTTCGTAGAACCTGATGGAGTTCAAGAGTGACGTGGCGTTATATAATTGGTTGGAGCGAATATTTTTTTGAGAAAACCTTTTGGGTCTCTCTTTCCTCGACACACATCAGACACTTCTCCTTGTCTCTTCTGCATAACTTCGCCAAAAGAGGGCTAATTCGGGGAAATCAAATAAGGGAAGTGAGACGCCAACGAGGTTTGAAAATGGAAGAGAAGGAGAATCGAAGAGCGGTGGTGAAGAGGAATTGATCGGAGCCGACGAGGTGGATGGAAGGGAAAGAGGCGGAGGGAAGACGGAGCAAAGAGTGGGAGAGAGGGTCAAAGGTGAAGGATTTGTTGTGGAAGGAGGAGGTGTTGTGGATACCGAAGAGGAAGAGCCATGGCGAAGAAGGGGAAGGAGGAAGAGGGGTGATGATTGATCGCCATAGCTTTTAGATGGAGGAGAAACGGACAAGAGAAGGGATTGGGAGGAGGGAGAGGATTGATTCAGTAGCGTCGATGTTTAAAGCATTGAAGTTTGAGGATTCATGATTTGTATCTGACAATTTTGAGTTTTGATGCTTTTCTCTCTGTGATTTTCTGAAGAAGAAGGAGAAGAAGAATAAGAAGAGAGAGTTCAGAGTTGGAATCATAAAAAATGGAGAAGTTTTTAACTTCTAAACTTGGAAAAAGTTATTAATAAAATTTTGATAAAAACCTTTTAAAGTGATTCAGGGTTGAACATGCTCTTAAAACTCTTATTTGAGAACTCTATCTTTAGAGGTTCTATACTTGAATTAAAATTTAATTAAATAATTATACTACATTATAATATTAATATTTATTTGTTTAAACCCCAAAATAAACTCATCACCATTGGAGATAGTTTTAGGAGTTGTCTCTAACGTTAATATCTCCTCTGCAATCACTGTTAAACTGTCTTCTAGACGTCAATAAGTTATTTTCAATAATTAGCCGATCATTAGTAAACATATAAAAGGGTGTGGGCAAAATGTAACAAGCTTAATTACTATGGAAAAAAAAGATTATCATTGAATTGGTTGATGTTGAAAATTGTGGTTTAATGATTTGGTTTATGGTTGCGGCTGACAAGATTTGACTATCTAATCCACTTTATGAACATTCGAGTTTTGTCTGAAATTTTTGAGTAAATGTTTATTAGTTTAACTTGTGTTTTAAGTTTTAAGCTTGAGATTTTCGACCCAAAAAACTAGAGATTTGGTTCTCTCATATATTAGATAAAAAAGGTAGGACGAAATCACCAAATTATTTGCTCCCATTTATTTTCATAACTTCTTAAATTTACTTTTAGTGTTTCGCGCATGCGCAATATTTGTTTATTCAACAATAAGAAAAATCAACTTTTGATCAACAAAATTATTATGAAGTTGAAAATGGAAAAAAGGGTATAGTTGTTTTCTTGATAACAATTATAGCACAAGACATTTTAATCCCGAAAAGACCAATTCAAAGTCGTATACATACATATTAGAAAGTAGAAACAATGTCTTCATTGACATATCATAATTTTTACACAAGTGATGACATGCACTTCAAGGATGAAGGATCAATCATGTCTCTTAAAAGATGTTGTTATAAAAAAGATTTTTAAAATGATACTCCTTTTTGTGCAACCTTGAAAGACTTTCTTTTAAAGTTCTTCGATGCTCGAATCAAAATGGGATCACAAGACTGATCTAAAATGTGGAGTTGGAAAGGGAAAAACACAATTCGCTCTAGCATAAGTTGGTAGGTAAAGAAAAGGGAAAGAAAGAAAAAAAGTTGGTAAGTGATATGTAGCACAATTTGCTAACTTAGTGGGCTTTATAAAGAGAGAATGTATAAGAATTGTCTTTCCAGAAGGAGGTGGGATGCACTGGTAAGGAGATAATGGCTCCATGTTGTTCTATGGACCAACCATATCACAAATGGGAAGTACATAGATACGTGAGGTCTCGGTATAGGAATCAATGTCTTTTTGATTATGTGAAAACAAAAACTTTGACTTAACGATAATTTTGTATGAAAAAAAAGTTTCACCAACAATTATTAGTTTTAGGGTATTAGTGCAAATTTATCCTCGGAATAATATTGACGCAAATCACTCTTTTATTATTATAAATAAATTTTTGTATGAAAAAAAGGAATTGACTTGTTATAAATAAATAAAATAAGGTTAAACTTTGCTATTTCTACACTGTTTTTTTTTTTTTTTTTTTTTGTGGTCACTTAACACCGTTTTGTGGAAGTGAAGTGTAGTATTTGAATCTTCCTGCGTGAGTTACCTCTGTAGCAGAGAAATCATGAACAAAGAGATAGGAAGCATTTCTTCCGGCAAACTCTCGCGACTCTTCAACGTTGTAACTCAGAAGCAGAGATCTTCTCCGGTTTTGATTTCAGACAGAGAAACCGCCAGAAGAATCACGGCGTACCTGGAGAAATCCAGCATCAAGAAACTCCAATCGAACCCATCGCTTCTCTTTAACCTGAATTCAAATGTAACCCGCCTCGTTCTATCGAAACCTACTCTTCCCACTCAATCCTGCATCGACTTCTTCAAGTTTCTCCGAACATTCGAATCCCGTCTCAGACCCGATCTCACGGCGGTTGTCACCTTAGCTCACCGGCTATACTCCGACCGGAGATTCCACGAGATGAAATCTCTTCTGAATTCGGTTGCTTCCGACGGGTTTTACGGGCGTCCGGTTGAGAATTTAGGATCGGCGATGGCGGATTGTGAGATTTCTGAAGGAAAGCTTGAATTTTCGGAAACGTTTTTCGATTTGGTGTTTAGGGTTTATGTGGATAACGGAATGTTCGAAGAGGGTTTAAAGGTTTTCGATTACATGGTCGGGAAGGGATTGAAAATCGACGAGAGATCCTGCATTGTATTTCTGGTGGCGGCGAAGAAACGCCGGAGAATTGATCTCTGTTTGGACATTTTCAGGCGAATGGTTGATTCTGGAGTGAGAATCACTGTTTATTCATTGACGATTGTGGTCGAAGGATTATGCAGAAGAGGCGAAGTTGAAAAGAGTAAGAAACTGATAAAAGAGTTCTCCAGCAAAGGAATCAAACCTGAAGCTTATACTTACAACACCATCATCAATGCTTACGTTAAACAGAGAGACTTCTCTGGTGTAGAAGGGATTTTGAAGGTGATGAAGAAGCATGGAGTGGCGTATAACAAAGTTACGTATACGCTTCTGATGGAATTTAGCGTCAAGAATGGGAAAATGGTTGATGCGGAGAAACTGTTTGATGAAATGCGTGAGAGAGGAATAGAATCTGATATCCATTTGTATACTTCTCTGATAAGTTGGAATTGCAGAAAGGGTGATATAAAAAGGGCGTTTTTGTTGTTTGATGAATTGACAGAGAAAGGCCTTTCGCCGAGTAGCCATACTTATGGTGCGCTTATCGATGGTGTGTGTAAGGTAGGGGAAATGGGTGCAGCTGAGATATTGATGAACGAGATGCAAAGCCGAGGAGTTGATATCACCCAGGTGGTATTCAATACATTGATTAATGGGTATTGCAGGAAAGGGATGATTGATGAAGCTTTGACGATTTATGATGTGATGGAGAAGAAAGGGTTTGAAGCTGATGTTTTCACTTTTAACACCATTGCTAGCTGTTTGAATAGATTAAAAAGGTATGATGAGGCAAAGCAATGGCTGTTCAGGATGATGGAAGGTGGTGTGAGGCTTAACACTGTTTGTTACACTAATTTGATCGATGTTTACTGCAAAGAAGGGAATATTAAGGAGGCAAAGAGGCTATTTGTGGAGATGAGTAGCAAGGGAGCACAGCCCAACGCTGTCACGTACAATGTGATGATATATGCGTACTGCAAGCAGGGGAAAGTAAAGGAAGCCCGTAAACTAAGGGACAACATGGAAGCAAAAGGGATGGATCCGGATTCATATACCTACACGTCGCTCATACACGGGGAATGTATTGCTGATAACGTGGACGAAGCAATGAGACTCTTTGGCGAGATGGGGTCGAAGGGTTTGGACCAGAGTTCTGTAACATATACGGTGATGATCTCGGGTTTGTCCAAAGCTGGAAAATCAGACGAAGCCTTTGGATTGTATGATGAGATGAAAAGGAAAGGGTTTACAATAGATTATAAGGTTTACACTGCACTCGTTGGAAGTTTGCATTCACCTGAGACTTAGAACATGATCGTCAAACTACGATCTGTTTGGACTGGTAAACCCTGAGATCCACCTGTTGATGGTTGAAGTCGCTTACTTAAATCAATACCTTTTTTGTTACTGGAAGATTCTTTGACAGACTTGGGTTGTGGTGTGTATCGAACGTTGCTTTTGGAGTATGATCATTTGGTATTGAGCAAGCGACCATTTTGTCAACGAGGTAAAGAAAACAAAGCTCGGCTCCTTTGGTATATTATATTATTAGCAATTGCTGTTCAGAGAAAAAAGCCTTGGGAGTTTTCTAGAACCTTGTGAACCAAATCTAAGGACTGAGATGTTGATTCTATATATATATGCATGAAGAGCTAGAGAAGTCAGTCATTTATGAAGCTTGTGAAGATAGATATGTACTATGGATGGCAATGTCTTGGAGATGGAAGATATGATAAACTATTAAAACTGAGATGGCACCGAAAATAGATCTTTATACTTCAAAAAGCTGGAAATCGACGCTGAAAAGCCGGTGATGCTGGTGAGGGTATCACTCTTGAGAAAGATGGACAAATCACAACTCGTAATCGAGGCCAGCTCCATATTTCCAGGCTTCAAGTCGTCTCTTCCACTGGAACTTTGTCTTTAATGGAAGTTCTTCCAAAGCTGGCCTGAGGAACACAGAACAGATCAAGAAGGTTCAGGAACACAATATCAATAATGTGGTAGTAGAAGCAACGGTCCAGTGTTAATTCCTCAAAGAGGTTCATAAACATTTCACCTTATTACTGGATCGATGTATGCAGAGAGGAATGTATACAAGCCCAGCATGAAAAAATGAACTGACCAATCAAGCAGAACAGGTATCCCGACCTGAGGAAATCACCAAGAAACCATATTTCAAGAACAAATGGAGAGCATATTCTGGGTTTCTGGCTCAAAGATGCAGCAACAGGTTTGAATATATACCTGTCTGAATATCGATGGAATTATCTGAGGTTTGGTCAGCATGACAAGGCCTAATGTCTTTGCTAGAGGACCAAACTGTATTATATCCTGTAGAAATGGTCTGAGAACCGGATCGCCCAATCTCTACAAGAGAATATATGAAACCATTGCTTAGAAACCAAAGTTCAGAAGCCCTCATCTCCCAGTTTCCACATAAAAATAAGGTGTACATACCTGCATGGAATTGAAATTTACATGGAGAAGCTCGTTGATGAAGCCAGGGGAAACATCGGGTTGTTGCTTCGCAGACATTGCTCTTTGAAACAGCCACGATGCGCTCAAGTTGGGCTGTAAAGATAAATGGCTTCAGTGAAGTTATTGACAGGGAAGAAAGAATAATAACAAAAAAGCTTTACCATGTAAGGATTTAGCTTTGATAAGCTGTCCGAGTCCAGTAAATCTCCATCTACTGCCTCATAGATTCCTTTGTATTAAATTGGAGAATCAGATTATCAGTAACTTATACTTAAACCTTTCATTATATAAAATTTATGTAATGATCAATTGACAAATGGAGACAGTAAGTGTACGGTCAAAGAGTAAATGTAAATACCATTGGACAGTCTTGCAAGGTGTCTGGTCAAACTTCCAAAACCCCCAAATGAAACAGGTGACTGAATACCACTAGCATCACCAAACTGCAAACAGAGTGAAACTTTGCTCATTCAGTTTATCGAATTATCAAGCCGCATGTTTTTCTTGGTAGCATATGTACAAGTGAACAAACAAAACCCACCTGTAGAACACGATCAAATGCGGCTTGTAACGGACTGGTGATAAGTCCAATCCAAGAGGGTTAGATATGTCAGAATGCAGGAGTATTATCGTATGAAACTGGTAAAAAACAGAATTATAATACCAATGATAAGAGATTCAACTTCCATAGATGATAGAGATACACAACATCATTGGAGTTTTATGCCAAGGTATTACCTATTTCGGTATGTAGGAAAGATTCCGTATACAACTCTCAGTATTTCCAATTCATCAAGAGAGACTCCCTGCACCAAAAGACATCAGGAAAAGAAAGAAACGCAACTGAATGATGTTGACATAAGATGGAAACTCACTTGGTATTTCGGCATTAATTTCCAGTATTCTTCAAGTAAATCCTCTAAACTCGGAGATGTTGATTGTGGTTCAGTGTAAGTGAACATGTAAGTAGTCCGGTCTAGTGGGCCAGAACCAGCTGGAAAGGCCTTCAAGCAACAATAAGCAACCTCATTTAATATCCAAATTTTGGTCGTTATGAGAATTGTGTAAGATGGGAAAAATAAAAGATTCTTTTACCTCCCAAAAGAGTTGTACATTGGAATCTGCGACTTTGGTGACCGATGAACTACTATAAATAACATCGCTTGATGAGTTCTCCTTGAACCCGTGAGCACAAGATCCAACAACAAGGCACATTCCATCTGGCTTTCTACCACCTTTAATCTTTTGTAGCAGAATACATAACAGAAACGATATTCTCATCAATGGTTTGCAGAAGAAAATCGGTAATCTAAAAGTATTAGGAGATGAGAAAAATGTTCAGTGGACAACACACAATTTGCTCAAGAAAAGTGAATCAGAAAAATTCATATTTTTTCGACTTTAAACCATGCGAATGAGAAGTAAGATTAGCTATGCCATTAGGCCAAAATATGACCTGCTTCAGAATAGGAGAAAAGTTTCCCATCGCATCGATGACCAGACGAGAAGATAATATGTCACCTTTCGAAAGTTGCATAACCTATCAATCCAAAAGTTTAAACAAATCATATCAGCATGTCAAATTGTCATATACATTAGGGTGTTCCAAGGGAAAGACATCAAAAAACTCACAGCTAAATCATCGTAGATGAGGATACTTGAGAGGCTGCAGTCTTCTAAAATGACTCCACCAAGAGAAATGAAACGTCGTTTCACAATTTTCACGAGTTTGGCTGGGCTGGTTATACAAAATGCAAAAAAAATGGAAAAATGATTCATCACTCTCAGAAGTTAACAGAGTTTAAGGAGCTTTTTCTTTTCCATTGCATCAGACAATAAGAGGAGACAGGACTCACGAAACGCCGAGGTTAAGAATATCTTCAACCCATATATCACCAAGATTCTCAAATCCACATCTGTTCTGCATTTGTTCCAGTATAATCATAAGCACCATGGATTTTGAGCATCAAGGCATTAGTTTCTGAACAGAAGCTTTACCGGATTGAACTTTGCAGCAATTACTTGTTCGATCTCCTCTTCTGTTAAAACTCCGGCTTCAGTTAGCTCCTTCATCTCTTTTCTTGAGATATTCCATTCTTGATCTCTCTACATCACAACAAACCAAAAAAAAAGAATTAGGCAATAGCTTATCCGACCATATCACAACCACATAATCAATTGAAAAATTTACCCCTTTGATTGCATTTCTCTCCACCACAGCAACTCTTAACCCCTTGGCACATAAAGCCGTGGCAAGAAAAATCCCCAAAGTACCCCCACAAACCGCTATGTCAAAGGTTCCAACGAGATTATTCCCCATACCATAGTCTTGAGAAAAACCAGAAACCCTGGAAACAATTTGCTGGGTTTCTTGCGGTCCTGCAAGACGTTTTGCAAAGACTTAACTATCATCACCAATTGATAATATTTCATTATGATCTGAATGGTAACGATTGTTTGTTATATACCTGATGGTTGAGTGCATATGTTGGACCAAATATTGTCAAGTCTCTTCAAGGCATTGTAAGAGTAAGCACCACCAGCACCTCCGGCTTCTCCACCAACCGAAATGTTCTCCATTATCCTCTGCATATCGAAATGAGTAAACTCATACTCAGCTAAAAATACATCTCATAGAGAAGTTAACCGTGCGTATGCAAATGCTTAAAGGCTCTCAAGATTCCAATACTACAACAACAAGATTGGAAAAAAAAAGCAATGGAATTTCCTTTTCCTGTGCAATGAAAATCAGTTATACGAGCACACTTTTATCAGTGAACTACGCCAGTAACGATTCCATCACAATGCAGATCGCAAAAATCATCTCTATTTCTGATAAAGTTCGCAGCTTTTTTCTCATATGATTATATGAAGCAACAATTACGCCATTAATTTCATTTTCCCCCGGATGTTGCGGGAAATATCATTTTCCTTGGAAACCAACAGAAACTTAGAAGCAGACAAACAGAGAATTGAGCAGAGCAGTTCATCAAGCAAGAAACTTTTGGAGCAGATTCAAGCTTTGCTGAAAGAAACTCCTAGAAAATAATAAACTCAACAAAGAGAAAGCTTGACCTGGGTTCTAGAGGGAGCCACTTGTGTTTGAACGCACACTGTCGTCGAAGCTCTCCCTCTTCCTCGGTTAGTCCGAGCCCTCGTTGCACAATTAACGAACCCATTAACCTGCTGGAGCTGCAAAACCACCATGAGCTCCACAAAATCCAGAGATGAGAATTAACCAGGACGGACTTTTGAAAATCCAACGATAAAACTTGTGATAAAACTAGAAGATTTGTTCAATGTGTCGGAGAATGTGACACGTTACAGAGCAAGTTTAACAAAATAAAAACATTTGGGTAACATTAACTCAAGAATAAACTTATGGTCTAAAATTAAAATATATCAACATACTAGGGTCGTAACAGTAAATTGCATTTTCTCCTCTACTTTTTCTTATTGATTGAATCAAATTGGATAAGCCTCTGGGTCTGGGTTTTAGGGTTTTTGAAGCGAGAAGACATTCACTCACAGTTCCATCTACATCGACAGGTGAAAACTCAGATTTCGATGTGTAGAAATTGTCCTACGTTCTGAAGTCGACATCTTTCTAGCTTCTTGGGTTCAATTTCGTATATTTTCTTATTTTTGTTCTTGCTAATCGACCCATATTTCTTCATATTTTGGTATGATTCTTCAATTATGTAAGGCCTGGAATGTGCGAATAATTTTCATTTCTCCAATCGATTTTAGCAAATGGGCAGAAATAAATTTCTTGGAACATGAGTTTATTTTACGTTGTGTTCTTGATTCTTAAGCTAATAACTTTCAATTCTCCAATCGATTTTTAGCAAATGGGCAGAAACAAATTTCTTGAAACATGTGTTTATTTTACGTTGTGTTCTTGATTCATAAGCTATTGCAAGAGCTTAGATGATAAAGCCCTTTGCTTTACACGAGTTTCACGAGTTACAGGACTTAACATCACAATGTTTCAATTTTTGTTATGGAAATCTCATTGTTGGTCTTAGGGATTTAAGATCTCGGGTTTAATGCTCATGTCTCTTTTCTATATAATCTGCAGATCCAAACTCCGTATCACAGGATTAGATTAAAAGACTCGAAGAGAAGCAGCCATGGCAAGTTTGATAATGGCCACACCATTCCCAGGTTGTATCACTAAATGCAAGAAAACAAACAGCCTGTATGTTCAGAGAGCCTTTAGGGTAACATCTATGCAGACAGAGAAACCATTGGAGGAGCTGTACAACGTTAAAGTGGAACGCAAAGTGTCACAGAGAAGGTTGGAGGAGCTCGGGGTTTCGAGATGGTCAGTTTGGAAGACAGGGAAGTGCAAGTTGCCATGGGATTGGCAGGTGGATCAGTTGGTTTACATTGAAGAAGGAGAGGTTCGAGTTGTACCTGAAGGAAGCAAGAGGTATATGCAGTTTTTGGCTGGAGATCTTGTTCGGTATCCGAAATGGTTAGAGGCGGATCTCTTCTTTAACGCTCCTTACCGTGAACGGTATTGTTTCAAGGCGTATGGTGATGATTGATTTTGAAAGTAGAGTTGAGTTTTAGAGTCAAGAAACTTTACACTTGTGTGTTTGTTGTAAGCCTGATGGATCTTTCTGTGGTAATGTTAAGAGAACAAATTTTCTTCAATTCAGAATTTGTAGTACTTACCTTAGTAAAAGTGTAAAACAGAGCAGTTTCAGGCATCTTTGACGGTTCTCAGAGTTTCAGGTCTCAGAGTTTATTATGTCTTATGTTTTACAGTTATATGAATGCGTTACTTGATATGGAAGTAACTAATTAAGTGGTTTCATATCCTCTGTTATCAGACAAGAGTATAAAGTAAAACAGAACATACCAGAATTTATGTTTTTGAGTAACTTGACGTATACACATTCAAAAATCAAATTACAAAAAAAAAAGCCCTAAAGGCATCTGATGCCTCTGAGCCTGTCCTGACCATAGTTCTTGATGAACCACTCAGGCTTGTACAATGCAACAACATGTGCTATTGCCAATCCAAACAAAACCCCAGGCCCATACCCTATTGCCACTGCTTTCCACTTCAAAATTGCTTCTTCTTCTTCTTCTTCTTCTTGCTCTTGTGTTGATGGTATTTTTTCTCTGAAGCAGGTTTCTTCAAGAGGAAGACCACATAACCCAAGATTCCCTTCAAATGAGGATTTAGGCTGCCCTATGATTTGTGTCCCTTGCGGTATTTGACCGGTTAGCCGATTATTAGAGACATCTATGTAAGCCAAATACGAAAGTCTCCCGAGTTCTTGTGGAATTTCTCCTGAAATTTTGTTCCCTGACAGGTCTAATGACTCGAGCTCAGTCACATTACCGAAAGACATTGGGATATGTCCTGTGAATGAGTTGTTTGATAAGTTGAGAGCGATCAACGCCTTTAAGAGACCAATAGATTCTGGAATCTCTCCTTCGAGTTTGTTTCCAGAGAAATCAATGGCCGAGTAGAAAGTAAGAACCTTTCCTTGCTCCATGTATAGACCTTTGTATTGCAAATCCAAAGTTTCTTCATAGCCAAACCGATCACTCGTATAATCACCCATATACAGCCTCTCTTCATCATCCGTCTTGAGAGATGTTGCACTCCAATTCGCAAAGTAATTCACTGGTAAGCTTCCTGTGAATCTGTTATGCGATATTTCAAGTATCTGGAGCTTAGGAAACGCAAGAGGGCCTTGATCATCAGGTGGAGATATAGGACCATGGAATCTGTTTGAACGTAGAGTAAGGACTTTCAAACTCGGCAATGCCTTGAGCCACAAGGGAAAGGTATCGTTGATTCTGTTGTGATCCAAACTTACAAACTTTAGTTGAGTGCAATTCAGGAGAGATCTCGGAAGCTTCCCGGTTAGTCGATTGTATCCAAGGTCAAGTGTCTGCGTTGAAGCGCCGCTATAGAACTCGTCTGGAATGTTTCCTTCAAGCTTGTTCTTCCGGAGATTCACAATGTTGAAATTACCAATACATGGAGGAATTGAGCCAGTGAAGTTGTTGTAAGACAGATCAAGAACATCAAGAAAGGTTCGGTTACAGGTTGAGAGAGGAATGTCTCCTGTGAAACTATTGTTCCAAGCAGACAAGTTTATGATAAAGAGTGGTGGATCAGGGAATGATCCTCTGAAACAGTTATAAGCCATGTCTAAGACCTGCACCGATGAATTGGCTAGAACTCGATCCAATGAACCTTCGAAACCGGTGAAAGAGTTGTTGTAAAGATTCAGCGAGGTCAAACGAGGAAGACTCCATAGCCAATCAGGAACGTTCCCTTTGATTCTGTTGTCGGAGAGATCTAAGTACTCTAGATTCTGTAGGGACTTCAAGAATCTGGGGAAATCACTTATGTTGCATCCGGACAAGAGCAAGATCCTCAGGGTCTTTGTAAAGTCGATGTCTGAATCCACACTCGTTGGTGTCAAACTGTTTCCGGAAAGATGAAGGTATGACAAAGATTTGAGAGGAGAGAAGATTCTCAAGTCAATTTGGTGGCTTAAGTGTAGAAAAGAGAGCATGAGAATCTGGAGCTTAGAAGAGGAAAAATTAGGGATCTCAAGTGAGCCAGTGAGATGATTCTCACTCAAATCAAGATAAGACAAGAAAGGCAAAGTAAAGAGAGAAGAAGGTATGGTTCCAGAGAATTGATTATAAGAAAGGTCTAAAGCTGAAAGCTTTGTTAGATTCTGTACAAGTGAGGTTAAATCACCTGTGAGCTTGTTGTGAGAAAGCTGCAATTGGGTTAATTTGGTGTGGTTACGTATAGAGGAAGGAACTTGACCTATGAAGCCATTAGAGGAGAGAAGCAAGATTTCAAGATTTTTGAGTTGACCAAAAGCAGAGGTCAAAGAAGAAGAAGCGAAGTTGTTGAAAGAGAGGTTAAGGTAACGTAGATGGCTTAACTCGAAGAGGCTACTGTTTGGTCTGAGAGTGCCACGTAGACATCCTCCGGGGAGCTTTAGAACGGTGACCGCACCGGTCACGTTATCGCAGGTGACACCACGGAAGAAGTCGGCGTCGTCGCTGCAGCTGCTGGAGAATGAAAACTCGTTTTTGAAACGCTTAAGTGTTTCGGTTTGGTCGGGACGACATCGGAGAGAAGCAGCGACAAGATCGGTAGTTGTAGTGGTGATGATGAAGAGGATGGAAATGAGAGTGAGCAAACGCAAACGCAGACGCGAGTGTGACATTTTATTATTTTTAATTTTTTTTTTGTTTTTCTTTGGCATTTGAGTATGTGAATCATCCATATCTTTTGTTATATATACGTAACACTACCAAACAAGTTGTCAATAATGACGGCTATCTCGTTACTTGAGTATTTGGCACTCACAAAAATGTCATCATTATTTTCTATTGTATACTATAACAACATGCCTTACATTTTATGAAAAAAAATGATAGAAGATATATGAGGCTTATCTCTTTCTTTCACGACGATATGCTCGTGCAGTTTCCGAATTCGAAAATTAAGTAACGGGTGACTAATCATTTTATTTCTTTATTTGGTCTTTGTTAAAACTTACGTGTTACACATGTGTGAACAAACAAACAAAAAATGGTACAAAGTGTGGAAGTTGACTATATATAGTCCTGGTCAGTATTTAATATGAAGTAATGAAAATACCATTGTGAATAGCATACACGTTTCTGTTGACAAAAAGATAGATTAATATATAGACTAGTTGCATATATGCCTATATATTAGTATTTCCATTACTCATGAAAATCAATATCAGCCCATCATCCAGAACCAAGGAGGATGATGGAGTGGCTTGAGGGACTTACAAAAGAAAGTCTCTGGTTGTTTCAAAAGGTTCTGAAACATAGTATCAAGATTCAAGAGAGTGTGTGAGTAAGCGGATGGAATAATTTGTTTGCGTTGTAGAGTGTTGAGCAAGTATTCTTTTGAATTTCATCATCCTGCCGAGATGTAGGGTTCCACATCTGAACCTGAACTCGTAAAATGCTATGCGCGCGTCTTTATCTTTCTCTGCTTTTTTTTACACACTAGACTTGTAAAAAAAAACGATGTAGTCACAGCCTTGCTATTTCAATCAATTCCAGAAACCCTAATTCTGCAAGTTGGCGGATTAGAAACAGCGAAGAAGGTATGGGAGGCGATTAAATCAAGGCATCTCGGAGCTATATATTTATTCCGAGGAAGACTTTTAAGAAATTTCTTTACAAGTCTAGATTTTTCGATGCTTGTTCCTAGTACAGCTGCCTTTGAAGATATCTCTGATAACTTCCCACTGAAGTCATCAATAGTTTCTGTATCCTTCATCTTAAGTCGATCAAACTCTGCCATAAAGTTGG